AACTTTTAAATTATAAGAATTCTTCTAGAATCAATATCATCTTTTTATAGAGAAAAACTTTAGGATTTCATTAGAATTTCATTAGAACTTTTATTAGAATTAAACATTTATAAGATGGCTTCATTTCTGACTCTCTAGATTTGAATGGTTTACGAATTCTCAAGACCAGTCAAGAAAAATTCATTTTTTCGACAAAATGTCTAGTAAAGATCGGTAAACTGAAGCCAATCGAAAGGAAAAATACCGTAAATACTGTAATAGTACTCCACCCCCATATTGACGGTGTGGAGTGTTGCGTAGTCTAGCTTTGAACGAGTTTTTCTCGACACTGGTTTATGCTACGATGCGCGTTTAGATATCAAAAAATTGCTGAAATTCAGGGCTATTTTTTGATACCAAAGATAATGACGGTGTGGAGTGTTACGTAGTCTAGCTTTAAACGAGTTTTTCTCGACACTGGTTTATGCTACAATGCCCGCTTAGGTATCAAAAAATAGCCCTGAATTTCAGCTATTTTTTCATACCAAAGACGCATTTTTTGAAAGTACAGGCGCTTTGAAAAAGAATGAAATACTAAAAGACTTTTGCGACTACGCGACTGTACGAGGCGGATACTATTACAGTATTTACGGTAGGTACTTTTCACAAGTTTTTAATCAATTTGCACGTTTATTCGTTTATTCGTTTATTTTCCAAAAAGAAGTTTTACTTTGATTAGGCTGAACAAGTAAATCATTTTATATCTCTTTTTTGATAGGGAAAGAAGATTTTCAATCAAGAAATTTTTATTAAACAAAGCTTTATTGTTACTGACCAATTACTTTATAAGTTGCTTCTGCTTACAGTTCAGCTACAATCTTGCCCTAAAAGCTTTACAGCCACTTTGTTCAGCTCAACTTTGCTGAACACCTATGGCTTTTGTTAATTTTGCAATAGTTCACCGGTTTTCCTTTACAATTTTGATAAGAAAAAGAGTTTTTGTCAACAAAATTTTGCATCTATATTCATTGTATTAGGTGTGTGAAAAAGTAATCGACGTTTTTAACGTTTAAATATAAAGGACCATAAGTTTCGTTAAAATGATTTCTATTCAACGAAGTAATCACCATTCGAAAGAAGAATCTTTTGCCAACGTTCTACAAGTAAAGACATTCCACGATAATAAAAATCTTGGTCCTTAGAGGCGAAGAAAAGATCAGCCTCGGTTTTGACATCTTCTTCGGAATTGAACCGTTTATTGGCCAAAAAGTTAGATAGAGACAAAAATAAATAATAATCAGATGGAGAAAAATCTGGACTATAAGGTGGATGTGGTAAAATCTCCCATCCAACACTCTGGATTTTTTGTCGAGTCTGTAAAGAGACATGTGGTCGCGCGTTATCGTTCATGCGGTATCCATTTGTCCAACTTTTTGATAAAATTCATGGCATTCAAGCGTTTCCTTACGGTTGACCCATCACAATTTAATGTAAGGCCTATTTCTGAAGAGATTGAACGAGGGCTTTCGAGAAGACAGCGTCTTATTTGGTCATCAGATAAAAATAAAAAACGTGGATTACTTTTTCACACACCTAATATCTATAAAATTGTAAATCTTAAATAAATCTTAAATAAATCTTAATTTATAAATTTCAAAGCAAGAGAAAGATAAAATTGAATCTGTCAAAATCTCTAGTTATAATATAGTCACAGATAATTTTTATTACAAATTGATGAATTGGTATTTGTGGATTTCAAGTGGGCCCTTAAAACGTGAGTGAAGAGGTTTAAGGGCTCACTTGAAACCCACAAATTCATCAATTAGCCTCTTTAGCTTCTCAATGAACCTGTTAACTTATCTTTTTCTTTATAGATCTTTAAGTTATTAAAGATGAGAGGTCTCAATCTCTGTAAACTTTAAGCTTTGATCTAGCTAAAAAGCTAGTTGAATGAAGTTGAATGAGTGATTGTGAAACGTTCTCATAGAGAAATCCACCCTCACCCATTCCCCCTCAATTAGTGTCGTGTGTGGGAAAGAGAAAAGAGTAATGAGCGCCTATGTGTCATTCTAGAGTCAGTTCAGGGGGACGGTGGGAGGGGTGGAGGCTCAATGTGTGCAAGGGGTACCCGTTTGGTCTCCTTTGGCCTCCTTTGGTCTCCTTTGGTCTCTTTGTCCTCCACCCACCTTTCTCATTCACTCATGTTTTAAGGGCCCACTTGAAACCCACAAATACCAATTCATCAATTAGCCTCTTTAGCTTCTCAATGAACCTGTTAACTTATCTTTTTCTTTATAGATCTTTAAATTATTAAAGATCTATCAAGAAGGATAAGCTTAGCAGTTATTGTTTGCTTATTATCTTTATGTATAGCTTATCTATCTGTTTCTGATGACTCTTGTACTTGTAACTATTGCGTGTCTAGGGGTTATTTTTGACGCTGATCACGAAACACATGTTTTTAGCCTAGGTTTCTGCACGGAAAACTAACGAAACGTGAAAACAGCCATTTTTTGGCTCTGCCGCCCTTTACTAAAATAGCTGTAAAAACTTTTAAAAAAGAGATATCGCAAAACGGTTTTTACCAATCGATCCGCCTTGAATTCGGCTTTAGGATGAGCTATAAAACGTCAAAATAGAGCAAACTCCCGTTGCTCTATCGACTTTCCATAGAGCAACCTCCCGTTGCCCTATGGAAACCTCGATGAAAACAAAATGAAATTCAAAATCTCTGCCTTTTTATGGGACAACCTAAAATCACTTTCTAAAATCAGCTCAATCAATTTTAACCAATTTTCTCCAACTATTAATTCTAGTATACCTGTGACTTTTAAAAAAATTACCGATTTGGCACTCGAATCCCATCAAAACATCGATCAAATTAGGCTCCGATTTCTCTAGAGACCGACCCTAAAAACAATTTCTTTGTGCATAGATTTTAAAAAACACTATTTTGATTCAAAAATCCCTATAAAGAAACTCTTCAATTATTTTCCTTTTTGCAGGGAGAAAAAGCAAAATTCTCTGTTGATCATCTAAGCAATTTTCGAGTCCAACGGGTATTCTTTGAAAAGATTATCTTTCGATTTCGATTATCTTCATTCATTCATGCGAAGATTTGTCGAGATATTGAATACCTATTGGAATCTCTGAATATTAAAAGAAAAGACAAAATCGTTATGGGAACGGTCTCTTTTGAGTCCTTTTTTTCCTATAGAATCCCTCGAAAATCCCCTCAAAACCACCATAATCCGCTTATATCCATGTACCATGGAGATTTGAGGGTAATTTCTTGCTTTCACTTTACTTTTAAAATTTTTCTTCGAAAATTTTCATTTAAAACCGGGATTTTCACTTCCGGATCTTCTTGAGAAATCGATTAAGATTAGGCAAGGAATTTTTCAACATTAGAGATCTCAGAAGTGCTTCAAAGCCAAATTTCCGGGCTAGTTCAGGGGTTCCTTTTAGTCGTTTACTTGTTAAAAGTCAAAGTATTTGTTAAAAGTGGAATTTAGCATCACGAGCTTCACGAGCTAGCTTAGAACAATTTTCAGAGTGTTTTGCCAACTTTGACTGGCACAAGTTACTGGTTTTTTGCTTTTTACTTTTGAAATAAATCTCGTGAACAAATGCCCAGTCAGCTAGGGTTATCCAAAATCTGGAATAGGTACAAATTCATCGCTTGTAATCTACTTTACTGGGTGCGAAATTTAAAAATCAGTACTTTTGCCTTCAGTTTATCCTTGAATTAGTGCTTTTGCTAGAATTCGCCCAAAATTTCGCTCAATGCATTTGGCATTGTGACTCCTTCGCCTTTATAGATTCCAAAAGGGAAACCCCCTATACTGGACAGGTATGCCAGGTCGTGAGCGATTACAAATAGAATTTTCCTTTTGTTCAGTAAATCGTTCTCGTATGCGATTTGAAGCTAAAAAGTTGTACTCGGGGGCTTTCGGAGTCGGAGAATCGACTGGAGCTGGTAATTCTGTTGTACCCTACTATAAAATGCAAATAGTCGTGGTTCTAGAAAATCACTTTTGGGGACCGGAGTACCCCTTTAATTTGTTTGTTTATTTTTTACAAATTCTACATCCTGTACCATTGACATTGATCATATTGGTTTCTTGTACATAAATTACTTTTCATTGTAGATAATAAGTGTTTCATAATGATTCACAGGCTTTGTAGATGGAGATCGAGGATAATTACGCCTTACCCAAAGGGCGGTGACCCGTCAAAAAGGATGACTTTTCCAAAAACCAAAGACGATCACAATAACGATTAGACTTGTTAGTGTATTGATAGAATTCTTTATGAGCTAAATTTTCGAAAATGTCTCTAATTCTTGCTTGTCAATGGTCGTTTCCCTTCCCCTTTCCCCATTTTGTCGAATGTCCTTTCCCTTTTCTCGACCAATTCCACTTCCTTTCACCCACCTGTCGTATTTTGGCTCTGGAAACACGATTTCCGACACTAGTTCTTTAATCTATGCATAAGATTTGTCAGTCAAGGGTTTGAATATTGAATCTTTATCAAGTTTTATATTGGAGATAGATTTGTTTCTCGTTAAAATTATTGGAAAAGCTGGAAAAGCTGGAAAAGCGATTAAGCTGAATATCTAGTAGTTATTATATTTTCGTATTTGATCGTATTCATTTTCTATTCATCACTAATTTTCCTTGATATCGAATTGATTTGGATTTGTTTTGTGTGGGATTTGGGTACTTGTGGAGTATCCGGTCTTTCTTTCAATATCCGGGGGGGTAAAATTTTAAGATCCGGGGTAAACTTTCAAAAACCAACCTCAATAAATTGAATATCTTTTGCATTTGAAGGGAATTTGCCACCAAATCACTTAAGCGGCTGAATATCTTTAAAAGGGGTCGTGTATAACGTATATAAAATTTTACCCCACCGGATCTTCAAATTTTACCCCCCCGGATATTGAAAGACCCCCCCCCCGGATACTCCACAAGTACCGGGATTTGTTTTGTAAATATTCATGTCAATATTTTAGATAAATGCCAAACACAAACTTGTACCAACCACTAGCGAAAGGAGTGGCCACATCAAGTGAGAAAACTGATGAATCGACTGTCTCTTCGTCGACTCCACCACCAAAAATGAGACATGAAAAGGAAAAAGATGTAAGCTGTAATGAGATTTATTCATTTTTTCGCCTAAAAATAGTTTTAGCAAAGGTTTCTAACTATGACTTTATCTTATGACTTTGACTTATTAATTCTACCGTGGTTTTCGTCGAGACTAGGGTAACAAATTCTCGCCGGATGAGAAACAACAAAAGACCGTTAAAGATATTCAGCTAAGCAACTGAAACTTATCTTTTTTCGTTATCTTTTCAAAAGTTCATCTCAACGTCACTCAACTCTCTTGTAATCTCTCTCCAAAACAAATTAAACATTTCCATTTATACAGGTGTTATTGTGCCAAAAAGCCATCAAAATTCAAAACTCTGAATTTAGAAAAAAGAGGAGCGAATGTTGAGAACGGAGACGAGAACGGATAACGATTTCCGGAAAGCGTCAACCGGGACACTCAATCGATTGATTTTAGTGGCACAGGTTGGCTAGGGAACCATTCTCTTGATCCAGTGGTCAACCATTCTCTTGATCCAGTGATCAACCATTGTCTTGATCCAGTGATTCATTTTCTTTATTGTTTGAAAGCCATTAAATCAGCGATATAGTGATATAGCGATAATAATGCTAAACTATGTAATTGTAGGCCTTGGAAAACGAGGTTGACAGTCGACGACAAGCCGACGTCTCGGGCAGCAAGATTGTCTTCTCGATTCGAATGGCAAACATGGTGAGTATAAGACTTATTTGTAAAAATAAAATATTAATATAGTAAGGTTTTATGTTGAGCTCACTAGCAACATGTTTTTCCTTTTGCTAACCGAAAAAATGAGTTGTATCGAAGTAGTAAAGACATAAAACTACAATGAACGACTCTTCAAATATTAGACAGATTTTAGAGTTGCTAGAATTTACATATCATTTAATCTCAAATTTCCCATTTCAGATCCTTCTCATCCTTGTCAATATTCTCCTTTTCACGGGTGTTGGTCAATACTATGACAAAAACGAGAAAGGGCATTGGGTACAGTATTTGAATCTTTATAACAATCTTTATAACAATCTTTATAACAATCTTTATAACAATCTTTATAACAATCTTTATAACAATCTTTATAACAATCTTTATAACAATCTTTATAACAATCTTTATAACATTCTTTATAAATTCAAACAATAAACCTTTTTAAAAAAACTATTCCATCAAATATTCAAAGAAAAAAGTTTTGTAGGCAGTAATCTTCAAGAAAAATGAGAAGATAATGATTGGATTTGTCAGGGATTTGTCGATTGAAGACTTTAATTGAATGTCATCCAATTCTGAGAGATTTTAAAGATTAAGAAAAATTAGATCTTAGAGAATCAATTTTAAAATAACCCTGAAATTTCAGAATCTAATGTTGACAGCCGACAAATGGATGTTCTCACCGATGAATAAAGATTTACCGTCAACTTTTCAAGAAATGAGACTCAATGCGCAATTCTTTGCGGCAAGCATTACGGTAAGAATGAGAAAATTTCGGTTCTAATCAAATTAAAGGGGATTTTTGAGTGAGTAGTCACACTTTAACGGCTCATCACTACTTTATCCGAAGATCATTTTATTGTTAACCACTCTGTCAAAAAGAAAAACCAAGTTTCCATTGGTGGACCAATAAAATGAATAGCTCCAATCGATTCCCCGTCCCCGAAAACCCTTGGCTACAAATTTGCAGCTGAATATCTTTTTATACCATTTACAAAGGAAAAGAAAATTTCTGTGTAAGGTGTTCTTTGTACGGCCCCGTAATCGCTCGCCATCTGGCAAACCGCTCTAGCATAAGGCGCTTCCCTCCTCAGCGATGAAGTTTCCCATTTTATTCCGTTACTATGCCAAATTCTTTGGGCAGAATTTTTGCCTTAATTTTCTCTATTTTATTATAAATTCTAAATCCCATCAAACCACTGTTCTACTCAAACTAACTATGATATAACAACGGAGAACGGCAAAATTTAGGTTTCAATGTTGTTGGCAACGATTCTACTGCAAGTGCTTCACGTTTGGAATAACGGGAGCTCGAGACTAATTGTGAGGATTTGACAAGATGATTGGATTTAAAAGAATAGACTTAGTAAAATGCATAAAACAAGCGAATTCCAGTCGATGGCCTACGCATTCGGCGCCGTGCCATTCTCTCTTTTTGTGTTCGGTCTTGAAATGCATTACTCGGCGTGTCCATGGCTTGAAGAATACAATAGCCGCCAAGTACATCCCATTGTCCCTCCACCGGATACATTACAAGAGGAATCGAAAGCAATTGTTGATATACAATGTGGGATCAATGGATGGGCGTTGGCGGGAGTGAGTGCAGTCAAAAGTCTAAAGGATATTGTTTAAATTGAATATCTTCACATTTTCTTCTTGAAATTGAATTTTTTAGGATACTTTGTTGAAGATTGAGTAAAATGAATAGCTCCAATCGATTCCCCGTCCCCGAAAACCCTTGGCTACAAATTTACAGCTGAATCTTGAGAAAGACTAATAGAAAAAGTCTTACCGTATTTCCTCTAATAAACGCCCCCCCCCCTGACCAACTTTGGACGCTTCGTTCTCAGCCCCATTTTGAGATATCTTTATGTTTAATATATCAAAAGATAGCCCTTAATGTCTTCTATCTTTTGATATATTAAACATAAAAATATCTCCAAATGGGGCTGAGAACGAAGCGTCCAAAGTTGGTCAGGGGGGGGGGGCGTTTATTAGAGGAAATACGGTAGGATACTGAATATCTTTAGAAAGTCTAATACTGACAAATTTAACTCTATCTACTACAGTAATTGAGAGTAAAATCAGGTGATTTTTAGTGAATACCATGCAATAAATACAGCAGACCAGTCAGAAATGCGTTAAACACGGTAATATCTAGTCTCATTAGCCTACTTTTCTCTTTACCTGTTTACTCATTAGTGAGTGAACTTTTTAAGAGCAATAGTAGACAGTAGCAGATAGAGTAAAGATCGTTAAGAAGAAGTTAAATGCATTATGTACTGTGTAAAGAAATATTCTTTGCGTGCTTGGTACTCTTCACTCAAGACACGTTATTTCTTGTTTTGAGATATCTGATCTCTCTTGAACTAAAAAAGCACTTTATTCAATAGCCGACTGACTCGGAATCTTTGGGCTCTCACTTGAGCAACTTTCACACAAGATCGACAATTGAATTAAAAGTGACGATAAAAACAGAAACAATTTCGTCCTAATTAGGACACAACTTTCACTCAAAAAAAATGAGAGGAAAGCAGAAAGAAAAATGAAAGATAACCAAAAAACAAATGAACAACAGTTGCCTTATATAGGCTTTAACACAAGATATTCAGCTAACAAGCTACAAAACAATAAATGATTTGGGGCGCGAAATAAAATGAAGGCGCACCGATTTCGTCAATATTTTTTCCAATTTTTAGGCTGTTAGATAACTTAGAGTTAGATAACTTTTAGTGGCTATTCGCCACATACTGAAAATCGAGCAGATAAGTCCAAGAAACAGCTGAATATCTTTTTTCGATCATTTACAAAGGCAAAATCGTTTGCGAAGATGTCGTTTGCTGACAGAGACCGATAAATTTATTAAGATTTATCGTTAATGTTGCGAAAGACGCTCTATATGACGCAAGAAATTGAAAAGCACGGCAAAAGTATGCGAGGAAGTAGGAGGATCACGAGAAAACCCCGAAAAAAATGAAATTTTGGGGAGTAAATATTGTAATAGTACCCCATGCTCCTCGTACAAAAGTTCTTTAGTATTTCATTTTTTTTCAAAGTGTCCGTACTTTGAAAAAATGCTTCTTTAGTATCAAAAAATAGCCCTGAATTTCAGCTATTGTAGCATAAACTAGTGTTGAGAAAAACGCGTTCAAAGCTAGACTACGCAACACTACGCACCGTCATTATAGTGGTGGAGTAGACATGGGAAAATTCCCAACCGAAACCTAATTCCACCTTCGTTTTCTCAGCCGTCTCTTGGTCGATTGTTCTGAAATTTTGTTTACAAACAGAGAATGCTAATTTCTATTTGTAAACAAAATTTCAGAACAATCGACCAAGAGACGGCTGAGAAAACGAAGGTGGAATTAGGTTTCGGTTGGAATTTTCCCATGTCTACGGTGGAGTACTATTAAAGTATTTAGGGTAATTCTTTGTATTTATGTTCAAACTGAAATACTAATCTATGAAGTGATTTTGAGCTTTTTAGATACCATTAAAATCTCTTTTACAGATCTTCGCTCTTCTAAGTTGTGGTCTTTTTGTGAGTGAGGGATTAATCACGGCTTTCTTCAAGAGTGAATCGAATAATCGAGACAAAAAGGAAGCCGTTTTATAACAAATGCATCTTTTGACTGAATATCTTCATCTTTATGAGTATTTTCTCTGTGATCTCTTCTTTTTTTTTCGTTTTTAATCTCAAAACTGTGCGCGGATTGATGCTGGTACTTTATCAAGATGATCTCCAAATTAGTCACAAATGATTTTTTTTTGAAAAGTTGAACTATTTATTGAATAAAAATCTTTTGGAAATTCTAGAAAAGGCAAGAAAAGGCAAAATGAGGCTAAACTGAAGTGAAAGCCTGAAAAGAAAGTGAACCCGATGAAAGCTGAAAAGGAAAAGTTATGAATAAAGGGGAAAGCTGGGAATCAAGCTGCATATTATAGTAAGTATCAAAATCTACAAAGTATAAAAACGTAAAATTCAAAAGTTAAAAGAAAAAGCTAGGTCCAGGTCTTTGTGGTGGAGGCATTGGAGGTGGACGACCTCCTGAAATCAAACTTTTTAAAAGGTTTTAATTTCTTGATCTCATAAGAAATATCTAATCCAGTATTACTGCATTTTTGTAGTCTATAAAAGCTTAATAGTCAAGCTTAACGAGGCCTTACACACAACAGGCAAAATTCTACATCATGGGCCTCAGCTGGAGGCTCAGAACAGCTAACAGATCAACCAGTTCCCGAATTCATTTTGAACTTTCAACGATTGAGACTATTTGGTTTACTAACAGCAAAAGCTCTGATCAGTTCAAGCCAATTCAGGCCAACTAATTTTGCACCCACCTCTAGGCGGCATCATCGGTGGCCGACCACCGCGCGCCATTGGTGGACCTCTGGACCTCGGCAGAAAGTATGGATCATCTAATGGATTTGGATATGGACTTGAAGGTATGGGAGGTCGTTGATGCCCGGGTGGTCCAGGGTATGGCATAGGTGGTCCTCTTGGCCTCATTGACCCGGAATGCTCCACTCCTGGCCTCGCATTTCTGCTTGGCCCCAAATACTCGGGTCTTGGCGCTCGAGTGTACGGAGAAAAGTAGGGATCATCTAGGGGATTTGGGGGTGGACCCCTTGATGGACCAGCTTCTTGACTAGATCCCGGTCTTTGCATCAATGGCTCAATAATCTCATCTACTATTTTATGTAGATCTGTTAGTATTTCTTCTTTTGGCGGCAGAACACCGTGAGTGATCCATTGATTCCAGGGATCAAAATTTGGTCTTTCTGAAGCTGAATTGTTGTTTGTAGATGTTAAAGATTGATCTTGTTGTTTTGAAGATGATGGAGTAGAGTCTCTGAATGATAAGCTTTCATAACAAATATGATAAGAGATCGTTTTCTAAAAGCTATTGCTCAATGAATTTAAATTCACTTACCGTTCGATCTCTGAAGCAAGATTCTCATTCGAACTCTCCATCTCCTTTGCCAATCGTTTTTCAGCCTTTTTCCTTTTCTTTCTTTCTTTTTCTTTTAATCGTTTCATTTGTCGAATTTCTTCTGGATCTAAAAAGTGATCTGTTCTAAACTTCACCTTATTCACTCGTATATTTAAAGTAAAACTCACGTTTCGATGTGTGCAATCTAGATGTCCCCAAATCGAACATCATCTCCATAGTACTACGCGGTGGAACAAACATTTCTAAATTTTTGACTATCAAATTTTACAAATTTTTCTAACCTTGATGCTCGGGGCTTATTTCATGCGGATCATCATCACTTTGCACTAAAATTCTTTGTAAACAAAGGAATTATAACTTAATCTGCAAAGTCTTAAATGAAACCTTCTCCATCTTCCACTTCCTGTGAAATGCGAGGGATTTTTGATGGTGGATGGAAATCGCGTCTTGGAAGAGCGGAAGGCTCGGGAAATGGGTTTTCTTTTGAGCAGCCAGGTTCATTCAAATAGGTGAATTCTGGAATTTTGTTTAATAGTGTTAAACAATTGAGAAGGTTTAGGATTGAGATTACGCTATTGAAATTTGTTGAGCTTGTAGATGTGTCTACTTAATTTTAAACGCCGTTTGACTCAATCGTATTGTCAATATTAGTGGCAATATTTTGCCAAATCATTTTCGAATTATTTCAATTCATTATTTCGTTACCTTCATCAAAAATGGGACTTTCCAAAGAGAAGGGTGAGCTGCTTCCTTGAAAAGCGAAACCCTCAATGACATTACGAATTCGTTTACAAGGTGAACCGGAGAGATTATCAGATGCAATACCGATACTAGAAAAAAAATATTTTCCAAATGTTTATAGTATTTATAAGTTGTTTATATGTCGTAGCCGATTATGAATTTCAGTCGATTATGAATGAGTGGGTCCGGACGCGTCCAATCATCAAGTATTTGTATGAGGACAATATTATATTATCTTGTAGCTAATTAAATTCTGCGTCTATTGTTACCAAATTTGTGAGTTTAGGTTAAAAATTGCCGGCGCTACAACGTTTCATTCAAAAGGCGGCGGGACCCCCGTAGCCGATTATGAATTTCAGCCGCTTATGAATGAGTGGGTCTAGGAGCGTCCAATCATCAAGCATTTAGTATCATTCAACGCAGAATCATTAATAATTATGTTAAATTTTTGAAATTAGAAAAATTGGATAAAAAGAAAAAAAATTACGGGGCTTCAAAGTTTTCTCTTGAACAAACAGTTTTTTTGCTCTAATTTTTTTTTCTTTTAATCAAATCTTGCTAATTTAAAAAATTTAACATAATTATCAATGATTCTGCATTGAATGATACTAAATACTTGATGGTTGGATGCTTCTAGATCCACTCATTCATAATCGGCTACGGGGGTCCCGCCGCTTTTGAATGAAACGTTGTAGCGCCGGCAATTTTTAACCTAAACTCACAAATTTGGTAACAATAGACGCAGAATTTAATTCGCTACAAGATGATATAATATTGTCCTCATACATTAAAGGGTTGCTCCACCAGAAAGATTTGCCAAAAAATTTCATTCATAACCGGCTACGACATATACATAAATTTTTCTTACCATTCTAGGTATTTTATTTCAAGTGAAGCTGCTTTGTAGATCACTTTCAATTGGTTTCGATCCGAGATTTGAGAATCAACGATGAACTTTTTGATGAGGTTTACCACATAACCTAAAGCTCGATTTTAATAGTTCAAACCTGTAACAAGACTAGCTTAGTTGTACTTTATTAAGAATGCTCTTTACGATGAACGCTCACCTGGATTCTCGGCTTTCCTCAGCTGCTTAACCAGCCAATTTCCCCTGGGAACTTGTGAGAGATCGATGCGCGGTTGGACAAGCTGACCCCTTTTGTTTGCCAAAGTTGATGATCCAGTAGCTTGTTCAAAGATTGATCGCTTTCCGCTAACCCTAAATTCCCTTGCATTGACTTTATTCAATCACTCACTTGTTCGTTTGTTTCTTGTTAAAATCTGGTTGTTGATACATTGGCGGACATGGCGGAGAAATCGGTGTCTGGTTAGATTCTTCTTTGGCATATCTAAAAGTTTATGCTAAATTTGTTTACTATTAGACTCTTACTGGTCCCACGGATGCTTTCTCGGACTTGTCTCCATTGGGAATAGCTTGGGCTTGGCTTGGTTCACTTTATTAAACTTTGCTCTTTCCGATATAAACCTGAAAATAGTTGCTTTTTTTGACAAGTGTCAAATAAAAATAGTTTTAATGAAGTAGCTGTATTGCCAAGTAATTCGCTGCATTGCTCACTTGCTTGCCGATGTTCCTTGACCCTTCATCGGAGTTGTTTGTTTCGGCTGACTCCTTGGAATTTGAACCTCAAACTTTGATATCCGACGTTCGATAAATCTAAATTCTGATATTTTTGGCAATTTTCTAAATAATGCTCACTCTTTAGATGGAGAAGCTTGCAGTGGGGAAGAATATTTTTGGGGAGAAGCCGAAGAAGTCAAATTTTCATCTTTTGAGCTGAAAACTGGTTAACAAAATTGTTTATTTTTGCTAACTTTTGCATAATTTTTGATGATTGAAGTGCTTCTAGAACATCAGGTGAAAGATTTTCCGTAGAAGTGATGACAAGAAAGAGATTGGGACGATGTCGAGGGAATGGGATTGACCATGATGGATCGCCGAATTCTGGAAAAGAAAGAGAAGACTTGACTTGACAAAATTTTGATTATAAATTCATTATTTGTAACCGTATAGCATCAAATCAACAAACCAGGTCCCGCATCTCGAATTCCTAGTGCAAAAAGGAAACAAAGATTGAGGGATGACTCGAAAACTTTTGTCAACGGCACGACCGATACCCATTCTTCTTCAATCATCTCTCCCATTGTTGTGAACACTTCATTATAACCAGAACTTTCTAAAAATGCTTTAAGAATCTTAAAAATGTCAATCTTTCTCACCATCCATTTCAGCTTGATATACCAGATGAACTTTAGGTGAAAGTTCACGCGAAAAGTTCTTGATTTTGAAGTGAAACTCTTCCAAGGGGTAGTTACCCTAAAAAGAAGCTGTGAAGTTGAAAAGAATCCTTGTAAACTGAAGAAATTCCTTTAAACTTACAATGCACAACAATCGTTCGGGTAAGCGAGCGGCCACTCCTCTACTGCACTCATGTTCTCGATTCAGCGGTCTTAGCACCATTTTTGCCTCAACTTTCTGAAAAGCCACTGTGCCTTTCCAGTAGATGTCCGGACTGAAAATTGATTGAGTTTTGAAAGTTTCAGAATTCTCACTCTTCCAATGGTTTATTCAACTTTTTGATCACTGTTGGAGTATTTCGTTGCGCTGCTTCCGCTCTTTCTTTCTCTTTCAGCTTCTAAAGTTTCTAAGTGACTCTAGTCCAAATGAAGGTAAGTCATGAACAATGCAAAGGGCTTGTTAAGCACAATAGTTGACCAGGGCTGACTCTGGATCATCTTGTGAAGAGCTAGAGATTATGGGAGTAAGCTTTAGCCATCTTATAGATTCAAACCATTTTCAATTTTCCCATTTTCAAAAAGACCTTATAGCTACTATTAGAAAATATTTTCTCAGCTTACCTCCGCAGCACAACACTTCTTACAATTGAGATCAAAGAGGTGTTTCCCGTGTTCATTCGTTGTGTCTTTCCTTGGCCCTTCTTCTCCATCACCAATCATTTTCTTCTTTGGTGGCGTTGTTTGTATCGGCGAACTTTCAGATTTTGAATCAACTAAATGATAATCGTTTTTATTTCTATAAAATTTCGAACCTTTAACTTTCACCAATTCATCCGCATATTTCGATGATTCAAAGTCACTTGGTTCTAATGAAACCAACTTGTCTGGAGTGATCATTTTTTTCACAATTCGAACAAAAAATCCCTGAAAGATATGAATTGATAAAGTGAATTAATCAAAAGTTTTTGAATACCTTATTCTGTCGATTGTTTAAACTTTTTAGAAACTCTCTTGTCCATGATTTTCCAGTTGGATCGGAGAGTGAGCCAAAGCGCTAAAAGGTTTCACTTTTTTAAAAGCATTCAACTATTATAAGTGAAAATATTTAAATTCTAAATATCCTATAGAAATTAGATGATTCAAAGTAATTGCTTGTATATTTTTCAAATTATTGAATCCTCTAACCTTTAGCATTGCATTGACAATCTCTTCTCCCAATTCTTTGATATCTTTTCGGGTTGTTTGATAGTCCAATGGTTTTTGAACACTAAAGTTGAATAATTCTCAAAAAGCTAATTCATTTACCGAGCCATTAATCCATCAGATATCGTCTTTGAGTAGCTGATTTTCAGCAATGAATGCTCTTTCTCTACTTTGTTCTTCAATTCCTCAGCGGCGATTTCCGTACGCATTTTATGGTGAAAAGCCGGGTCTTCTTTTTTGTTTGCTGAAATAGATATTTTATTTTTTATGAGCAATTTTTCACCTGAGTCATACGCTGGAAGAACGGGAGTGGCTTGGGGGCTGAGAAGGAGAAATTGCTCGAGTTGGCTCAGAGTTGGACCTGGGATGATCGATCCATTCACTAATACCATCACCATTGAGGAGTTTGAGCCAAGCTTCTGGAAAGGGGTTTTAAAAATTACAACCCAGTTTTACCTGATGTGCTCGTTCAACAATCACTTGCACGCATTTCTCCGAGCAATACTGACTCCTTGGCACCGAAAAGCGTTTATCTTCAGTCTAAAGATTTATATAGACTATTACCGTATTTATTCTAATAGAAGCACAGTCTACAATAAAAACACAGTCTCTAATAGAAGCAACAATCCAGACTCCTCGAGATCTTTCGAAATCTTGACTTTAGACCTCTCTTGTGGGGGTTCTATGGATAGCTCTAATCCATAGAAAGGTTGAAAAATAGAAGCACATTTGCTTCTATTAGAATAAATACGATAGATTTTGTCTAACGACTTACTTCTTCTAGTGATTGCTTGCAAATCGAGCAGAAACGGTCCTCCGGTGGGAGTTTTCGATGCTAAACTTGAATTTATTTCTTAAACCTTGATGAGGCTAAACCTTGATGGTCGATTTTTCTCTTGTGTCTAATTGTTCCGGTGATTCATCAAGGTGTGCTCGATGGGCAACTTTTAGTCCAAAAGCGTCCCTCACGTACTCGTCTGTTAAATTCGTTGCGTCAAAGTACTCCCAATTGAATTCGTCCTGTAAATCGGATGGATTCGTAATTTCAATACATTGACGTAAAGTTTATGAAAAATATAGCATTTCTTACTTTCCTTGGAAATTTCCTGAAACTCTTGAGATGAATGAAAATGATGAATGAAAATGATAAATGAAAATTACAATTTGCGCGACGAATAGCCGTTCTTTCTTCTCCTGTTCCTCCTTTTTCAACTCTTCAGCAATTCCCTTTTCGTGTTTTTTGATCAACGCATCTTCTTCCGCTCGAATTCGGGCTTCTTCCTAAATTTTAAAATTTCCTTTCTTGTTTTTGAGTTTTTCGTTGATCGTTAATTTGTAGGGGTTTTAGAATTCCAACGACTCCCGATCATCTCTCCAAGAGTGAAAACGATCGACAATCGATGGGGTCAATAAAAGAAGAAAAAAACATTGAGGTTTCTTTTGATTAATTATCTAGAAAGTATACAATAGAGCAAATGTGTCAGTTGCTACTGCTATTTAAGTGTTAAGTAGGGTAGTTGAAAATTGTCCTGCACCTTTTCTTTAGCGGTCAACTCGTTTTTGTTTTTCATTGCTTCATCCACTCCATGTTTAGCCTCATGCCGATCCTCCTGAAATTTAAATTTAACTTGCAATCTTATAGGTAATCAAAGCGCATTATTCTAAGATTCACCTTCCTCGACGCTTTCTCATCTTTCAACTTTGACTCTGTTTTGCTTCTAGAAGTGCTAGGCATATCAATTTGCAGTTCTTGCTTCTTGTCAATCTTTCTATTCGATGTCCGAACTGGCGTCTTTTCCTAAATTTGCAGGTGACATTTTAGAGAGGATCCATTTCAGGTATTGCAAAAACCGTGCTTTATGTTTTTAAACCAACCATGATCACTTTCTTCGTTTTTGATGGTTTTAGAAATTCCTAAATCTACCATAAGTAACTTTTTAAGGCTTTCGCTAACATCTATCCGTTTAATCTCGATTCCAGCGAAAATTTCCGTATCGATTTTGAGCAAAATCTCATTGGAGGACGGCCAAACTAAAACCCATTTTTCACAATACCCTTACAAAAGTTACCATCTTTTCGAATTTTATAGACACAATCCTTGCTTGTTGATGGACTATGTTCACTAGAAAATTGGATTTTTGAAAATCTCGATTTGGGGATACCTGGCAATATTATTGAAATGGGCCATAGATTCTTTAGTTTTGAGAAATAACTTCAAAAGTCATAGAGAATATTTAATGTAGTAGAATTACCGCATGATTTAATAGGGCCTGCTTCCCCCTTTTCGAAAGTTGTAGTTTGTCTCCATTTTGGTGTTGTTTGGATGTTTTTGTTTCATGGTCTATTCGGAAGTAAAAAAAGGATACGAAAAGAGACCATCGACTCGTTGACATTCAAATATATTTTCGAACGAATTGCTTTATTATTTTTTTTCTTCAGAAACAACAATTAATGGCTGACGTCGAATTCAAACTACCAGCGCTGCCAGAAAAACCAGAAGAAGAGCCGAAAAGTGATGAACAGGTTGGTTGTTAGTTAGCTTTAAAATCTTGACACTTAGCCAATTATTCCTTGAGTATTTTCCGTTTATAATCGGATAAAGTAGATAAATTGTTGAACGATGGAAAAGAGTTACGAGATAATTTAGAGTGTAATTTGAGATTATCATTTGTTGTTTTTAGCCAAAAGATGAGACGCCGTTACAATTGTCGATTCGCGAGCCGTTGTTGAGCTATGATCCACCAGTCTGGGCGTGCAGACCTCCCGAGGATGCACTCTATAAATTAGAAGTAATTTTTTGCTGATTGTTGAATTGTAGTGATCACTTTAGATAATAAAAAGTGGAACGATTGTCGAAACGATTAACATGGCAAATCGTAAGCATGGTAGGTATTTTGGCTTGTGCTTTTAATTAGATTCTGGGTACTTTTTTATCGTTAACAATTCCAGATTCGTTTTTCGTTATTGGAAGATTGCCATCATGTGATTTGACACTAGAACACCCATCACTTTCACGACATCACTGTATACTTCAATATGGTGTTGATACGATGAATCGAACTGGAAAAGCATGGCATTTATACGATATGGGTTTGTTAGGTCTTGTTGCTTGCTTTGATAAATCTATATCTAGAATCTACTCATGGAACAAAAGCAAATCGTCAGAAGATGCCACCAAAGCAGTACATTCGAATGCATATTGGATGGGTGCTATCGTTTGGATGTTGGTTTAGTCAAAAGTTTAATAATTCTTTTTTTTTTAGTAAGTACTCGAAGTATGACCCTGATTGGCCCGGATGAAGAGAAGCAAAAGGAATGGGACGTTTCGCCGACCGAAATGATTGAACTAATGAAGCGCAAGGTTTGTGTGTTAATTAATTTCTCATTCATGCCTAATTTAGGAACTTGAAAGAAAGTTGGCAGCAAAAGCAAAAGAAGAATTCGACAGTCGAAAGAAGGAAGAAGAGAAAGATGAGGGAATCGACTGGGGAATGGGCTTCGACTTTGAGACGGGAGAATCGGGATTGGTACATGTGGGTAGTTTATAATTGTTGTCTTATACCCGTACTTCTTAAGGGATAATAGCCTAGTTAAGTACATTCTAAATATCACAGTATTAGGATCACTTCTAACTATTTCTAACTAACTTCTAATTTCTAACACTTCTAACTAACTAAATTATTTCAAAGCTCAAAAATAGTTTATTTTAGTTGGATGGCAATGATGCACATTTGATGGAGGACCATGAAGGCTATTATCGAGACGATCCGAAGAAAGCTCTCGCCAAATTTTTTGATCGAGAAGGTGAAGTATTCTCTAGAATAATATAATAAGTTGCATTTTTTAGGTTTTGATATGGAATTTGTCTTTTCGGAGAGTGGTATTAATTCACACAACCATAAATGGATATGCTCAATTGAGTAAGTTGCTGCTTTCTCACTTTTTACAAAAGTTTTCGGCTTCCAATCGACACAGGATCTGGTAGAGCAGTACACGCGTCGGCGACTGTTGCTACCTCTAAAAAAGATGCACAATTTCAGGTAAAATTAAATTTGAAACTTTAAACCGGTAGTTACCTAGTTTAGTGTTCGTTAGAAGCTTGTCGGATCTTGGATGGTCATGGAGTCTTAAGAAAGTCAACAGCTCGCTCAAAATTAAAAAAGAAGTAGGTTCTGAAGACATAATGACTGGATTAACTCAAACATTTACTGTCATAATAAGAGTCCAGGACACTTGAAGATGAGGACTTTTATGAAGAAGATGACGATGAATATTTGGATCGAACGGGTCAAGTTGACATTCAGCGAGAACGGCGCAAGAATCGGGCTCAGGTTTTCTATCCTGATTTTTTTTTACTCAATTATTCAGGGTATCAAAGATGGAACATCTAAAACGCACACCTACGAATCCATTCTTTCCGATCTGGAAGAGGCTAAAAAGGTACTTGGGTTTCTTTATTACGTTGTGATCTTCAAAGTTTCAGGAGATTGAAGAGCTAAACGCAAAATATGAACGTCTGAATGCTTCGGCAAATGTCGTATTTGATGAGGAGAATGCGCAAATTAAGGAAACTTCTTCAAAACACGAGGATATTGCTGTATGGTAACTCGGAATTATAATTTAGAACCTTAATTTAGACTAAAACGGAGAAGTCAAAGGTTCGACAGCGTATCACTGAATTAACACACCAAGTACAACGCTTGGAACAACTCGCAAAGATTGCTAAGCCTGTGAGTGACGCTCAAGAAAAAAAAATCATGATTGTTGTATTTAGATACCCCTGCCTGCAATGACCATGAAACTCCCTACAGCTACCGCATCAACGTCAGACAAACAAGCGTTCTTCAGAAAGTTGAGACAATTGGGAAAGCAAAAAAAAGTTCGTCAAAACTTTAAAAAAATGAATAGATAATTTATTATTTTAGGCAGATGAGCCAAATGATGCGGGAAATGCTTCTGAACTACAAATGCCTCAAGTCTCTTCCAAGTTTGTTGCCGAAATTGAGGTTGTTTAGTTTATTTTAGATTTTTCTAGTTCAGATTATTGTTACAGGAAGACGATGATAATGGAAATGTCAGCGAAAAGCCAAAAGAAGAATCTGATTCAAACAATACAAAGGTTTGGTTTATTTTAAGCGAGTTTATACGACCTGTTTTATAGGATGCATCAGTGACTCTCAAGCCAGTAGCCTCACCTTTGAATGTGAAAAAGCCTGAATCAAAAGCATCAGTAGAACAGCCTCAATCAAGAATAGTGACACAGGTTTGCAATTTAAGCTTGTCGTTTAATTAATTTATGTTACTAGGAGGAGAAGAAACGAGAACCAATCGCGCTCAAAGGACCCATACTCGTTGAGGAACCAGAAATCACTGTCCTACAACAACCAGAAACACCAGATGAAGATGAATATTCGGCGCATAAGAAAAGACCTAGGTTAGTCTTGTCTTTTCCTCTTAATAAAACATTTTTAGGAATCAGAAACCAAGAAAACGCAAGATCGAGGACTCTGGTGACTATGGAGAAGGACTGGAGAATAAGGTTTGTTATTTTACGGGTGAAAAAGCTTGAAAGTCCAGAATTGATATCACTTATACAATTTAGGAGGAGCAGTATGCTACGTGGATTCCACCGACCGATCAATCGGGTGATGGTTCAACACAATTAAATGCGAGATTCCAAGGACGCTACTGAAGGGCGCTTTGGAATATAAACAAGCGGGTTAATTTTTGTTTTTTTTAATTGTTACTTTGTGATATTATTGAAAGAAAGGTCGAGTATTTACAAATTCCGCATTGAATCTGTTCATGAATTTCGTATTTAGCTAGCCTAATCCGTTTTGTGTTTATTTTCATTGCGATCATCTCGAATAAAGCTTTTACAAAGAATTTATGTTTTTCAAAAATGTTGGAATCAATAAGGATATTTTCGCACTGATTTATGGCAAGAAGATTTCAGCTTTGATGCTGATTTACGGTGGATTACGGTTTTTCGTCGCATTCGGCTCGGAATTTTTTTCCTCATTGATTTTCGTGGTCAAATCAGCCACGAAAAGATTGTAAAACGTTAACATACCGTAAATACTTTAATAGAAGCCCCCCTATAGGAGCCTCGCGTAGTCTAACTTTACCCTCAAACGTCAATGTGAAAGGGGCTTCTATTAGAATATTTACGGTAATTGACGCAAAACATGAAACTTATGAATTTTAGTAGGAGCAAAGCCACAGCCAAATTACAGCCACCTAGTTTGCTTATTGTATTTCTCTTGTTAAGACTTTTCTTAACGTTGAGGTTTATTTTCTTCACTTATCTATCATTTTTAGGGCGAGCCATGTCATTCTACGAGCAACAAGGAACTTCTGCTGCGGGAACGAGCCATCGGAGAACATGGAACAATGCCGACTACGCCCAACTCGCCGCCCAAAGAGCAGTTCTGGAGGAAGCCGAGAAGAAAGAAGCGAAAGTGAAACGTGACATCCTTAAGGCTCGCGACTACAAAGTCGATTTGGAGTCGAAGATTGGCCGTAGTGTTGTTATCAACAAAGCGACACCATCGGCCGAATCGGGAGGATACTACTGCGATGTGTGCGATTGCTCGGTCAAGGACTCGATCAACTTCTTGGATCACATAAACGGCAAGAATCATCAACGCAATATGGGAATGAACATGAAAGTGAAGCGAAGCACCCTCGACGATGTGAAGTCGCGCTTTGAGTTCAAGAAGCGAGAGATGATAATGAAAAAGAAAGAGACCGAAATCGAGGAAACTTTGGAGGAATTGAAAGAGGAAGAGGCTCGGATGGCCGACTACAAGAAATCGAAAACGGGCGAAAGGAAGCGAAAACTTGAGGAGGAGGAAGAAAAGGATGGCGAGTTAGATCCTGAAATGGCAGCAATGATGGGATTTGGTGGATTCGGATCTTCAAAAAAGAAATAATATGTATGCCTTATTTTTAGAATTGGAATTGTAATTTATTGTTTTATTCTTTTGTCTTCTTTTCTGATTTAAAATCGATCATTTAATTGTCCCAAATAAACTTTTATAGAAGATGTCTCACGACAAGCAAGAGAGCGAAGAATCTGGAGACGGTGAAGAGATTTTCGAGGTTCGGTTTTTAACGCATTACATTTTTAAACGTTATGACAATGCATTAGTTATTAGTTATAGTATACATTTGCTTTAGGTGGAGGAGTTGCTTGCTACCAGGGTCCACAAGAAAAAGCGAGTCTACTTGGTAGATTTTATCTGTTTTCCAACTAATAAATAATCATAGGTTCGTTGGAAAGGGTATGGGGAAGAACACAATAGCTGGGAACCTGAAGCAAATTTGATGGAATCAGCGGCAGAAATTGTGGAAGACTTCAAAGCCCAGGTATAGTTTATTGGCCAACTAAAAGTTCTTTGTTTAGCTGGCCGCAAAACGATCTTCTACTACTCCAAAGCCGCTCAAAAAGCGCCCAGTGCACATGGTTGACGGCGATGAAGAAAATGAAAGCTCATCTTCAAAGAAGAGTCGCATGAGCCGAAGCCTTTCGAAGGATGACAGCAAAGATGATGAGGATGAAGATTAGTAAGCTACATCAATATTTTTATGATCATGGATTTTTTTTAGTTCTGACAGCAAGAAGTCATCTAGCCGCAAGCGCACCGCTACCGTGCACATGAAGAAAGCAGTACCACCACCAAAGGTATTACAAAATTCAAAAGTATGTTAATGTTTATTTTTAGCCACTTGGAGCAATTGGTCAATCTTGGCTAATGGAAAGCAGCGACGATGATGATGAGAAGAAAGAACCGAAGAATGACCCCGAAAAGTATGTAAATTCTAAAAATTAACAAGATTTAATTTTTCTTCTTTAAAAGTGTAGTTTAGTGGCGCTGGTAAGTACTCAATTCGTAGGAGCACTGGAAGCAAGAGCATTTCAGTTGAGAAGGAAGGGAAAAGATCGGAAACTCGTGAAGCCGAGCGTAAAGCAGTAAGTATTTTAAATCGCTTAAAGCTAGCAATGTGTAAAAGCTATGATTCAATTCTTTTAGGAAAAAGAACGCAAGAAACTCGAGAAACAGAAACGCGAAGAAGAAAAGCGCAAAAATGCAGGGTCTTTCGTATGTACATTTTACTTGCTTAATAAAAATCCTTTTTTTATGACGCTTCTGCATCCGTCCCAAAACTCTCTGTCAAGGTGGCCAAAGTGTAAGTTTTTTTAAGCTTTTGAGCGATAAATTTCTTTTAATATGGTTTTATTTGATTTAGTGACAACAAAGCCGACGGTGAACCAGAGGGTGGACTCCTTCCTTTGGTTATGAAAATTCGACGTGCCATGTACACAGAAGGCAAATATTTTGTCAATGTGGTGGTGGACAGCGAAGAAAAAGAAATTCCACTTGACGGTAATTTTTTTAAACTATCGGTTTATTAACCTTTATAATCAGTCATAATAAAAAACTGACTGAATTTAAAAGTTATTTCTGTAAAGACCTCAGCATGTTCTAATAGTGACTTTATCAGTTTCACGCAACAACCCCCACCTCCATTTTGTTTACGAGTTTAGGGATCCATCAGAAAAAAACGACATTTCAGGCCCATCGACCTAATATTTCTGTAAAGACCTCTTAGCATGTTCTAATAGTGCGCTACAATCAAATATTTCTTTATCTGTAACATAAGAATCTTCATTTAGAAGCCTGGAAGTTGAACCCCCATGGACTGATGCAACACCTCATTTCCAAGTATCCATTTGAATGATGCCATTGTGCTTGCCAATATTATTCTATCATGCGTTCGTTTTTATTTCATTATTCCTGATTCTCATAAAAATTATGGGTTTCTTCTATGTAAAGACCGGTTTTGTTTGGATGTATTATTTTTTTTGTCACAAGGTTGTTACATTTTGCACCTAAACGTTATTGTTCTTTTTTTAATATCAACTTGTTGGTAATAAATTTGAGGTGTAGTTCAAAGTACGCATAGACAGAAATGGAGAAACGAAAGCGAAAAGACCTATTCACTCATGAAAAGCCACTTAAAAATGGGCAATAGGTCCAATTTCATCGGTCTCATTGGTTCATTTCACTGCAGAGAATCCTTTTTACGGCTTTATTGGTAATTTTTGCAAAAAAAAGCGTTGTTTTCAACGAGCCAACCTGTCAAAGTGGAGTTTTGTCAAAGGTGTTTCCACCTAGTCGATATGAGACAAAGACACTGGTCTCATTTATCATTCAAATTCAAAAAAAGGTAAATACTCATCAACTAGACTTGCTTAACGCTCCCTTAACGGTTCTCACAACGTCTTTAACGGTCCTGGACTAAAATTTGGCGTAACTATGTTCAAATGTAATTTTATTTATTTTAAAGAAATAATTACTTTGGTGACATCTTCAGAATGCAAAAGCTTGATAAATTTTTGTAAAAAGCGAAACGAGAAACAAAATTGCGTTCAACGATTCCTTAAATTTTTTGTTCAAAAAGCTAGAACTCGTTTATTCGCGTTTTTTTATTTTCTACTATTTTGTTAATAAAACACTCATTTCTACCAAGTTCCATAATTTCAAAATTTCTTTTTTTTCTCATCGTTTCTTCTTTTCAGTTCAGTGAAAATTCCCTTCGATAAGACCGATAGAAACATTTTTTTTTGTTAAAATAACCTTTACACAAGAAAACTTTTTTATTTATTCTTTTTATATTTAATGAAAGCTTTTCTTTTGCAATTTTCCTTTTGTGTTTGACTAGAGTTTTATGAAATTGAGAATGAAATTGATGAAATACGTTTGGGAGAATAAGTGTTGTAAGTTAGCGAGACTGGTTTTAGAGAATAAGACTTGTAAGTTAGCGAGACTGGTTTTAGAGAATAAGACTTGTAAGTTAGCGAGACTGGTTTTAGAGAATAAGACTTGTAAGTTAGCGAGACTGGTTTTAGAGAATAAGACTTGTAAGTTAGCGAGACTGATTTTAGGTCACCCAAGCCAGGCTAACCAGGATTTGGTTGATCTCTTTAAAATTGTAAAAGGAAAACATCAAACAACCAGAAGAAAACAGACAACCAAACAACTCAAGGCTTGGCTTCTGGTTTAAGAACTTGTAGACTAGTTCTATGATAAAGCAAAGTAAAGCAAAGCACTGGCTTTGGAAATTGCTAGGAACAATTTTGGGTCAAAGGATTAGTGGCCAAGTTTAGCCTGGCTTGGGTGACCTAAAATCAGTCTCAGTTGTAAGACTGTTGTAAGACTGTAAGTTGTAAGACTAACTTACAAGTCTTATTCTCTAAAACCAGTCTCACTAACTTACAAGACTTATTCTCCCAAACAGTCTCATTAACTTTTTTTTAAACCCTCTTTTTAAAAATCTTTTTCGACTAAACTCGAGGCTTTTCGCGACTAGGCGTGGCTTAGTTTATCAGTTATAAACCTTAAAGTTAACTGTTTGCTATAGAATTCAGAAAATTGAGTATAAATTTCATTTACAGCTTAACATATTGTAACTTTTGGCGACTAGGCGTGGCTCTTTTATCTTGCATCCCGAATCCTGCTTTCTCTAAATCCTCTAGAGCTTTTTTTCGTAAATCGTGTGACTAAAGTTTGAAATGCCCTTCCCGACAAGTTGCGTTTGATCTCCACCGTGTCTGATTTTTTTTAATAGGACTACTTCGTTGCATTTTAAGTGATTTTGTCATCTTTTATCTAGTACATTTTTCATGTCGTTTTCGCACTTTATTTCTTTCTAAATAAAGTATTTATATAAACCTTTCATCTCTTCAAATTCACTATAAGCTTTTTTATAAAACTATAAATATTATCAACAATTTGTTCTGTTCCAATTTCAAAAGTTCTCTTGTAAATCGTGTGATTAAAGTTTGAAATGTCCTTCCCGACAAGTTACGTTTGTCGTGTCCTCCGACGTTTGCCGTGTCTGATTGTCTGTTTTTAAAAGGGCTATTTCGTTGCATTCTAAGTGACTTTGTCATTTTTTATCTAGTACATTTTTCATGTCGTTTTCGCACTTTATTTCTTTCTAAATAAAGTATTTATATATAAAAATACAACAAAAAATACAGTAATATTGATTTCCGGATTTAATTCTCTTCAAACTTGACGAGATAATGAAAGAATAAAGACAATTTCTCGCTATTTTAATGAAAAGAAAAAACAAAACAAAACAAAAAGTATTCCCATGACAACAATCCAACGAGGTCACACAAAACTTTTCGATGGTGTAAATGAAATTATTTTTTTTGTTTCTTCTCAAAATATTTGCTTTTTTTTGTTACAGTACTATTCTCATGATGGGTTTTATGATGATTTTGATTGGGTCTCATTGCTGAATAGTTTTCTCTCTTTTCGTTTCCATATCCCCGTTCGATTAAGGGATTATCGGTGAATGTGAGCTGGCGATTTGATGCGCAAATATTGATTATTTCGAAATTATACCGAAAATTATTTCTAGCTTAGCGTATAAAAATTGATTCAACTTAACAATGAGGATTTTAAATTTAAAACAGTAAACAAGCTTTGTATAAATAGTTATAAAAGAATAGCATTTGATAAAGTGATAGTTGAATAGCTTAATATTCTTAAATCTTGGGGCTACTTTGCGCCAAATTCTTTGCGCAATTGGACCATTTGCGCAACTCGCCATAACTTTCTTCTAAGTTAACCAATCTTTATGATTTTGATGTCATTTTGTTACACTTGTTGAGATCTACAAAATGACACCAAAAACATAAAGATTAACTTAGAAGAAAGTTATGGTGGGTTGCTCAAAAAAATTTGGCGCAAAGCAGCCAGCCACAAAATTTTATTATAAAAGAATAGCACTTGATAAAGTGCTTTCGATAGCTTAATATTCTTAAATATTAGATTGATGCATAAGTCTTTTCGTTTTTTTCGTACTTCTGTTAAAAAGTAACAAATTCACGAATTAATCTATAGTTTGCTCTATAAAAAAAGTGTTTTTTTGTTCAATTTGCATCTTTTTAAATGAATTTCGGTTCACTTTCAAGCAAATTCGAGAGTGAAAAACGCCTTTTTCGTAAAAATCTATAAAAAACTCTACGGAAAAATTGGCTGAATGAATTTCTCTGAAATTTTGGCGAAATATCAAACGTTTTTTTTCTCTATAATAATAATAATAATAATACTTTATTCAAACGATAAAGTGAAAGAAATCATAGAGAAATGCACAGTGATACTTAATCATACAATACATACTGAAATCAATAAGCCAATTACTTACAGCAAAGAGCCACTAGATCTAAAGCATCGATACGTTTCTTGAATATGAAAAGCGACTGAATTTCTCGTATGTCGTTTGGGAGCAAGTTCCATAATCTAGCGGCTCTAACGGGAAATGAATTTGATAAAGAGGCATTGGAAGCAAAGGGAATTTGCAAAAGGAATGAGCCACTTCTGGGCCCTGACCGCGGTTTAAATTTGAAAAAGTCTATAAACGAGAGTGAAAAAGTCGAGAGTGAAAAACGCCTTTTTCGTAAAAATCTATAAAAAACTCTACGGAAAAATTGGCTGAATGAATTTCTCTGAAATTTTGGCGAAATATCAAACGTTTTTTTTCTCTATCTTTTATCTATTGAAACGAAGATAGGTTTTCTTTACCTAAGGTGTCTAAACCGCATCATCGAGTTAGCCCTTTTTGACTACCCGACTTCATACTCTCAAGAAAATCCAGGCATTAAATATTTTTAAACCCGTTTTAATGTTATTTTGCAGAAAAATAATTGCTTTTTCTAATGAAATCAACCGTAGTTTAATTCGTGCATTTGTTGGCTTGAAACGGCAGACGAAAAGGAACAAAAAAGACTTATGCATCAACCTATTACTTTGCGCCAAATTTTTTGCGCAACTGGGCCTTTTGCACAACTCGCCATAACTTTCTTCTAAGTTAACCAATCTTTATGATTTTGATGTCATTTTGTTACACTTGTTGAGATCTACAAAATGAAACCAAAAACATAAAGATTAACTTAGAAGAAAGTTATGGTGAGTTGCGCAAAAAATTTGGCGCGAAGTAGTCACCCCCTAAGTATTGATATTAAATAGCTTAATATTTTTCTAAATATTAATATAAATAAATTTAGATTATAAAAACTATTGTATTAGCTGAAAATCTTGACTTTAGCTTTTGCCAGAAATTCCTTCATTCTAGATTTTCTAGATTTCATTCTAGATTCCAAAACTTTAGAAATTTTTCATTTCTGACTAATGAGTGTACAAAGGTTCAGTGGTCCAGAGTTCAGAGTGGTCCAGTGGTCCAGAACTTCAGTGGTCCAGAGTTTAGTTTTGTACTAGAAAATTTTGAAAACAATCATTTTCTTTTGCATAGAAGCAATCTTTCGAAAGAAATTTTCTTGATGATTCACTTTTCCATCGACCTTTCACCCTTTCCCAATCCCTTTCTAAATCTTCCCATTTCATCATTCAAATGATGATCGTTTTCTCTCTGATTCCTCTGATAAAGAATTAGTTTTTCAAATCAAAAAAAAAACTGTAGTCGCTTTGGAAAAGATTGAGTTTTAACGCTAGAATGATGAAATTCGTTAAAAAAATCGGAACAAACAGATTAAGAATCTAAAAATTCTATAGATTTTACAATGTTATTGGAAGATTGAAAGGATTACAATGTTATTGGAGAAGGAAAACTAGGCAAGATTGTTATTGGAGAAAGGCAAGATTACGGCAGTTTCCAGGAATTAACAAGCTTTAGAAAACGGACTAGTATTCATTCGAGTTTTTACAACTATAGAGCAGCCCCCTGTCAGAGCGTCGCGTAGTCTAAGTTTACACTCAAAAAACCGCTCATATCTTCGCGCCCAGACATTTGTTACTGCTCGCTTAGATATCAAATTAAAGTAGAGAAAATGGGTGATTTTTTGAGATATAACACATAATTTTAGCATTAACCAGGGCTTAGAAAAAAATGATTGAAAAGTGGCAAAAAACGTCGATTTTCAATCATTTTTTTCTAAGCTCTGGTTAATGCTAAAAGTATGTGTTATATCTCAAAAAATCACCCATTTTCTCTACTTTAATTTGATGGCCAAACGCGCAGAAGCAAACGTACTGGTGTCGAGATTTAAGCGTTTCTTTGAGAGTAAACTTCGACTACGCGACGCTCCTATAGCGGAGGGCTTCTATTTAGAGTTTTTACGGTATATAACTAAAGTTCTAGTCTTCTCTAAACTAACATTTTAAACTTTCTAAACTTGAGCCACTTTTTTTGATAAAGAATTTGAATAGTGGGACTTTATCTAATCAAAGTTTTGCAGAAGTGATCTTTAGTTTCAAGGTGAGAACTTTGAGAATAAAGATTTTTGAGAAAGGGACTTTTTTTGTAAAGCTTGACCCTTGAAAGTTTGATTTTTGCCATTCAGTCGACTCTCTTTCTGTATCTTTTCATCTCTCCGCTAACCTTTTTCTCCTTTTTCTTCATTTTCTCGATAGAAATATTTGTGTTGACCTCATCGAGCGATTTCGAGAGACCGATTCTGATATTTTCCACAAAATAGAGACACCTTTTCTCCCTTTAGGTCTTTTCTTGAATCTTTTCTTGAAAAGATCTATGAGTCCAAGATAAAAGATTGAGAAATTCGATAACTGGTTGGGAGTTGACTCTATTTGGGAAACTTCAACTTCTAAAGGCTTAGACTAAAAGATTTTAGTATTATATCTAAATCAAACTTTTAAATGATCTAAATTGGGAAAAGTTTTAAAGAAAATTATAGGATTATTTGAAAATATCTCAATAAAACTTTTAAATATTCTAAATTTGAATCATTATCTCTAAATCTGTCAAAAATCTTATCATTTGTAAATTTAATGATCATCTCATTTGTTTTTTTGTCTAAAAACTTTAGAAACATTTTTTAAGCGATCTTTTGAAGTAAAGAAAAGAAGAGGTGAGAAAAGAAGGAGGAGAAGAAGGAGAAGGAGAAGAAGAAGAAGAAGAGGGGGGATTCTCTTTCCTGTGGGGTGGGCGGAGCGATGCTTCGAGAGGAGTATGAGAGATTGCACTGCTGTCCCCCTCCCCCTCACCCATCCGCTTCCATTCATTCTTCCACAAATACCTATCAAATCCCTAAAGATATGGCTGTTGACGCTGAAGTGATTGCGAAGATCGATGATGGATACAACAAGCTGCAGGTGAGAAGATGAAGCTCTCTAGATGTAGCTGTAGCTTGCTATAGCTTGTTGTAGCTTGTTGTAGCTTGTTGTAGCTTGCTGTAGCTTGCTATAGCTTGTTGTAACTTGCTATAGCTTGTTGTAGCTGGCTGTAGCTTTCAAATGAAATCTATAGCTTAGAAGCAAAGATAAACGTAATTGTGATATTATTACTGTGATAATACAAGTTTATTTGATACTTGTAGATCAAGAAACAATAAAAAGCGACTTTGAAAACATAAAGGAATTTAAATGGCAACTTCAAATCGAACAAGCTTTTTCTTCATTCTAGCAAATCATTTTTGATTTCTTTCTTTAAAAAAACATTTGCTAGTGAAGCTTTTCTTCCAAAGAATTCTCAAAATCAGCACCATTCTTGTATAATTTCAAATTCCAAAGTGCTAATCTGACACAATTTTCCTTTTAAACCCAAATAACACAAATTTTGATAGGCTTAGTTCAGTTTTCTTTTCTTTTCTTCTTCTTCTTCTTCTTCTTCTTCTTCTTCTTCTTCTTCTTCTTCTTCTTCTTTCTTCTCTTCTCTTCCTTCTCCTCTTCTTCTTCTTCTTCTTCTTCTTCTTCTTTTCTTCTTTTCTTCTTCTTCTTCTTCTTATCACACCAACTTTCAGTGGTTTCCAATTTTTTAGAACAAAAGAAAAAAACAAAAGATTAAAGGAAAATAGCTGAAATTCTACAAACCGCTTTTCAGTGCTTTCTTTCAAATCTGGGACTTTTCCCTTGATGCACGGTTTATTTACTCAAGCGGTGTGGTCACTCAGAGGTTTTAAAAGACTCAAAGAATTGTCTAGAGAATGGGAAAGAGTCTTCAGAACAAACTTGAGCTCTTTCTCTTGGTCAGGAGAAATTCTTGGATACTCTTGAATACTCCTAGCATTTCTAGACTCTTCTTAGATATTTGTAACTATGCCAATACTGAATTAAAGTCTTTTTACTGAAAAATGACTTAACTTATCTAGAAATTTATTCAAAAAAAGTTGAATTAACTTCTTGGAAACTCTAAGAACTTTAAAGAAGGAGAATTTAAGAAAAATATTGTAAATGCGATAAAAAAACAAATTGCTGGATGTATCAAATCGAATTCTAGATAGTAAAAGTCGAAAAATCTCAAGTTTACTGAATAAGTTTGGTGTAGAAATTGAGAAATTCATTTAATAAAGCTTAATCTAGTAACGATTAAAGCTAGAAACGATTAAAGCTTTAATACACCTTAATCTAGTAACGATAAAGCTCAAAAAAATCGATTAAAGCTGAAAGAAGCTTTTGAAAATGACTCTAAACCCTTGAATCTTTGCTAAAATAGTTAATAATCGATAGTTTTCATATTGAAAATCAATATCTAAAAGCTCTAACAACTAACAGGCTTAAAACTGATTGAAAGCTCATTTTTTGGCATTGAAAGCTCATTTTTGGCATCCCAGGACACTCTCCATATTCTTCAAATCACAATTTCTTTTGATCATTCACAGATATGGCATTGAAATTAGGCATTTGCTGACATCTGTTCCTCTCTTTTTACCCCATTTCTCATTGAAGCTTCTTCCAGAAAGGGCAAACGCTGAAGTCGAATCGATATTTCCCCCCTGCAGTTCCCCTTCTTCCCCTTCTTCTTTTCTTTTTCTTTTCAACTAAAACATACACTCTTTTTGCGAATTCATGAGAATTCCATCTTTTCTGCTTCTTTGTCTTTTTGAATAAACCCAAAAAAGAGAAATTGTGAAAGCTAGTGTTTTCACAGCTGCAATCGTTTAAAGGCGATTGAAAGAAGAAAAGATTTCTGCCAAACCACAACAAAAGATTCTTAAGCTTCAAAAGCAAAGCTTAAAGCAAAGCATAAGGCAAAAGCATAAAGCAAAAGCATAAAGCAAAGCATAAGGCAAAGAATAAAGCAAAGCATAAAGCAAAAGCATAAAGCAAAGCATAAAGCAAAGCATAAAGCAAAGTTTAAAGCAAAGCATAAAGCAAAGCATAAAGCAAAGCTTAAAGCAAAGCATAACGCAAAGCATAAGGCAAAGCATAAAGCAAAAGCATAAAGCAAAGCTTAAAGCAAAGCTTAAAGCAAAGTTTAAAGCAAAGTTTAAAGCAAAGCAAAGCATAAAGCAAAAGCAAAAGCGTAAATTTAGCCTAGCTTAGTGTTTGAAAATTTGGAATCAGAAAATCGAGGAGAACAGAAATGAGAGCTGACAAGAGAACATGCGAATATATTCTGTAAAGAATATTTTAAGTATTATAAACTATTGTCAAAGTAATATACTGTGTTGACTTCTTTCAGGCAGCCAGTGATTGCCATTCGCTCCTCAAGAAGCACCTCACCCGCGACGTCGTTGACTCTCTGAAAGACCGAAAGACTAAGCTCGGCGCAAACCTTCTTGATGTCATCCAGTCTGGTGAGGTTTTGTTACAAAATAATGAACTGTCACAGTATTAGAATAAGCTGAAAGCTTCAAAATATGTTAAATTTTAAATCTATGAATCCAGCATTTTATTTTATTGTGTCAAGAACTTGTAAAACCTCTTTCAAAAACGCTGTTTATCCCGCTTGTCACCAGCTCACAGTGGCCTTGATTTTATGAGCAATCACCTTTACTAGTAGACACTTATTTGCGATAGAATGAAACCCCCGAGAATCATTCAACCAAACCATGATGGAGAGGAAAAGAAAGAGAGAATTGCCCCGTTCGACAACCCTATTTGCTGATGGTGGAAAGGGGTAAGTAGGAGAAAGAGGAAGAGGAGGAAGAGGAAGAGGAGGAAGTCTCTGGGGAGACACCAGCATCGATTCTCATCGCACCCCGACTTTGCATCAAAATTTGCAAGAGTGAAACCCATGAGGAAACTGCTCAAACTTTCCATAAGCTGCTGGCTTTTCGTGTTCTCGTGTTCCAGGGAGGTAAATGGAAACAAATAGGTTTTAACCTCAGAAGATTGATTCAATATTGATCGACTTTACTGTCAGTTGGTTATATCATACTTATAAACCAGAATTTCTTTTCAATACACACAAAGTTTTATGGTTTATGAAACGAAAAGAACTCTAGACTTATAATTAACTTTGTGTTTAAGTATCTAAAGTTTATATAGCTTTTGAGAAGTTATCTAAAGTTTATATAGCTTTTTAAAAGCTATCAAAAGCTATATAAAAGCTATCTAAAAGCTATCAAAAGCTATCTAAAGCTATCTAAAGCTATCTAAAAGCTATCTAAAGCTATCTAAAGCTATCCAAAAGCTATCTAAAGCTATCAAAAGCTATCAAAAGCTATCTAAAGCTATCAAAAGCTATCTAAAAGCTATCTAAAAGCTATCTAAAGCTATCTAAAGCTATCTAAAGCTATCTAAAGCTTATCTAAAGTTTATATAGCTTTTCAAAAGCTAGATAAACTTTAGATACTTAAGAACTAGGTTAATTGATATAAACTTAAGATATAGCAAGTTTAGATAGCTACATCTTACTAGAAATGGCTCTCATGAAAATTAGAAACTCTGACAACTCAGCAACTTGACCATCTCACATATCCCTCTCCAAATAAACCTCATTACTAGAATCGATATCCATTCCACTTTCCAACACAAACATTCATCCATTCCCCCATATGCCCAGCTTCTCTTTTCCCCAACTTAATCCCGAATAACCCAGCGGTTACCCAGGTAAAGTTCTCTTCACCCAACAAGTCGATCTTTCACCCTCGAAGAGCGGCCGCATTTCACACGACTCTCTTCATTTTTTTTCTCCTTCACATTATCGCTGGAACGGCACGCATTTTGCCACTCTTTTTTCAAGAGTGAACCCTGAAATCGGGTTGTCCCGGGTGACCACAGCCGAGAGAACATTTCTTTTTTTTCGCAAAAAAAGTCATCGACCTTTTACTCTCGTGTGTTGACTATAGGGGTTGAAAAATCGTGAATATGTGTTGATTGAGGCTGGGAAATTGGGGGAAATTATCGGATAAAATAAAGGCGCTAATTAAAAAGAAATCAAAGATTAAGAAAAATGAAATTAGCTACAATGGTATCCTATTTCAGGTGTGGCAAATCTCGATTCGGGAGTTGGAGTCTATGCGCCCGATGCTGAATCCTACACCACTTTCAAGGAGCTTTTTGATCCGATTATTGAAGTAATAATGATCAAAAGAAGTAGTAGCTAAAGAAAAACAATCCGAGAATTACACTAACATCAAAAATAGATCAATTCTTTTTAGGAGTACCACAATGGCTTCAAGCCTGACCAGGTGCAACCAGCCACCGATCTCGGAGAGAGCAAAGTGAGCTAATTCTGAACTTAATGCAAATTGTTAAGACTGAGTTGATTCCAGGTTGGAGAGCTTCCCGATCTTGATCCTGAGGGCAAGTATATCAACTCGACTCGTATCCGTTGCGGACGATCACTCGCCGGTTTCCCCTTTAACCCTTGCCTCACCGAGGAGAACTATTTGGAGATGGAAAGTGGGTGAAACCTTTTTGCGAATCTATTATCTAACTTTAGAGACTGTTCGCAACATCTTCGATCACATTAAAGAAGGAGAATTGGAGGGAAACTATTACCCGTTAGATGGAATGACGAAAGAGATTCAAACGCAACTCATCAAGGATCATTTCCTCTTCAAGGAGGGAGATCGGTCAGGAATATAGGAAATGTTTGAGAAAAATGAAAAATGAACTGAAATGCGTAAATTTATTACACTTCAAAGAATGTAAGAAGAGATGAGATGCTAATTTAGCGACAACTTTGCAATATTCATTGACAATTGGCCGACTCGCTAAAAGCTGTACCTGTACAAGGGATGGTCAACAGACCCAGCTCACCAAATGAAATGAAATGACCATCCGACACAGAATCTTACACTGATTTCAAATATTTGATTCGTTTATGCAAAAAGAGGATGAAATTTTTGCATTTCGAACATGCGGATTCGAACCCCCGAGGAGCTGCCCCGTATCCTAACCGACTATCCACTACACCACGCAGTCATTCCCCACCGAGCCTTATAAAACCTTATAAAGAGAGACCAATTTTGCAAAATGATTCTGAATCAAAAAAAATTTGAAAGAGGTTCTTGGCGTCTCTTTAAAAGGTTTACGCGCGGGCCGCGTCGGGGTTTCAGCGTGGTGTAGTGGGTAGCGGGCTAGGATATGGAGTGACTCATCCGGAGTTCGAGTCCGCTCACGTTTTTTCTTTGCAAAAATTTCATTCTTTCCGAATCATTTGGCAAATCAGATATTCAGAATCGGAAAATTTTATGTTGGATGGGCTTTTTTAAAAATTAAAATCATGATTCTTTCCAGTTTCCTCCAAGCCGCTAACGCTTGCCGTTTCTGGCCAAAGGGACGCGGAATCTTCCACAACAAGGACAAAACTTTCTTGGTTTGGGTGAATGAAGAGGATCATCTCAGAATCATTTCCATGCAAAATGGCGGAAATGTAGGACAGGTGAGCAATTTGAAACTCTAGCATAAATGCCTGTGCTTTAGCAATATCTTTCAATGAATACTTTGAGCTCAAGGCTCAACTCTAGCCCATTATTTGGCTCTTTATTCAAACTGTAACTCAAGTTTTTCAGGTATTGGGCCGATTGATCAAGGGAGTGAAGACGATTCAAGAGCAAGCCCCATTCTCGCGTCATGAGCGCCTCGGATGGTTGACCTTCTGTCCATCAAACTTGGGAACGACTGTTCGAGCCTCGGTTCACATTCGACTTCCAAAGGTGTAACGATAGATACATTATATAGATTATATTTAATAATCATAAACAATTGAAATTCAGATCTCGGCTCGACCCGAATTCAAGTCGATTTGCGATGGGTTGAAGTTGCAGATTCGTGGAATCCACGGAGAACACTCGGAATCTGAGGGAGGAGTCTATGATATCTCGAACAAGGTCAGAAATTAAGCAAAGTAGCAAGCAAGCCAGCAAGCAAGCCAGCAAGCAAGCAAGCAAGCCAGCAAGCAAGCAAAGCAAAATATTGATTGCTTTTTCTTTGAGTAAATTGAATAGAAAAGCTAATAAAGAAAGCTGCTGAATCAAAAAATTTGCTAACCATCGTTTAGAGTTCGTTCAAAGCTTTAAACTGAAAGGAAACTTAACAGGAAATTAAATGAATATGGAAATTTAAAGTATAAAAGGTATAAGTAACTTAAGCAATTAAAAGATCAATGTAAAATTCGAAGATTGCCATTCTTCTAGGCTCGTCTTGGCCTCACCGAGTACGAGGCGGTCAAGCAAATGTACGACGGAGTGAAACATTTAATCGATTTGGAGAAGAAAGCCGAAACCGCATGAAGAGTCGGCAAAAGTCTCCTCTCCACTCATCACCGAAAATTTCGTTTCATTCTCGCATCAATCTTTCGCTAATTCCCATCCTCGTGCTTTTTAATATATTCAATTGTAATCTTGAAGCTTGAAAAAGCCTTAGCTTTCTTTTAAAAGTTTAAGGTTTCAGTAAAAATTGTTGACTTTTTTACAAACAACAACAAAAAAAATCGAAATTTTATCTTTAAAATTGTCACCAATTTTTTCTTAAACATAAACAATTGTTTTTAGTGCTTTTTTCTTAAAGATTTATCATTGATTAGAATAAATTTATATAGAAAATTGTTGTTTTTAAAATCTTTCCTCAAAAATCTCTAAAGAATGATCGAGAGGAGATTGATGATCATCGAGTTTAAGATCTTCTGACTTCATTGAAGGGAGACTTCGCAAAGGAAGAGATAAATTTAAAGCATTTCGACCACGAGAGAAACTTCTAAATAGAAATTGAATTAGAAATTGAATTCTAAATAGAAAATTTGATTGTACATAATGCTAGAAAGGTTTTTAAAGCTATAGTTGATTCAGTTTATAACAATTGAGTTGAAAAACAACTGCTTAAAAGATGGGAAGAGTTGGGTGATCAGTTTAGTCTAGTTACAGCCTGGTTGTGGGAAGAGTTGGGTGATCAGTTTAGTCTAGTTACAGCCTGGTTGTGGGAAGAGTTGGGTGATCAGTTTGCTAGTTACAGCTTGGTTGCGCGACTCACCGCAAATCACAAAATAGCAGCTTTTCTGCTGAAAAGCTATTTTGCCGGAGTAAATCTTAACTGCAAGCCTAGTTTACTACATTTAGACACATTTTGTAACAGTTTTCCATGCATTTGAGCATTTCGTTTATCGTATTTTCTCTAATAGTAGTGTATCCTGTAAACTTGTTCAAAGCTAGACTACGCAACGCTCCGCACCGTCACTATCTTTGGTATCAAAAGATAGCCCTGAATTTCAGCTATTTTTTGATATCTAAGCGCGCATTGTAGCATAAACCAGTGTCGAGAAAAACTCGTTTAAAGCTAGACTACACAACACTCCACACCGTCATTATGGGGGTGCAGTACTATTACAGTATTTACGGTATCTATTTTCATTACTACATTCTAACATTTATTATATAATATTTATTTTAAAGTAAAGTTATTATATAAAGAAAACCAAAAGGCTTAACAATTGCGATTTAAGAAAAAGCAATTGAGCCTTTTGGCTTTATGTAATCGAATTGTAGAGCATTGTAAAAAGAAAAGAAAGACACCAGCTGGGTGACCGGCACACCAAACAAACAAAAGCTCATTCCCAATTCCTTTCTTTTCCCCCGAAAGTTTCTGTCTCACCCCTCCGTATCCGACGATGTACTCATCGATTCTCTCGTCGGTGCACCAAAACTCTTTGAACTTTTCAAAGTCGAGATATTGTCAGTGCTCATCGATTGCAAAGATCTCGGTGAACTCTTGAACATCTGTAAATGAATTGCAAGAGTATAAATTAACATTTGAACATTTGAACAAACCCTCGCCTTCAACCAACTGTAGATGTACTCAACGAAAAGAAAGAGAAAAGCCAACGAAAGTCCTGCTAGTAACAACCAAAAGGCGCCTTGTGCCCGCCGTAGACTGAGGTTTCCTTAATTGTAAGCCTTTATTCAATGGGTTTTATTTTGAGATCTTTCAATTTCCTCGATTTCTCACCCGTTTCCGTCATCGTCTCATTACATTTCGTTGTCCTTCTTGACGCTAAATAAACCAAATAATCTCGCATCCATTTCTGGATAAAGCCACGCTCGTTTAACTCTTGAATTCTAAATTCAATCCAATTCAATTCAACAATCAACTCTCTAAAAAACCTGCTTGAAAAATACGTAGAAAAAGGTGAGTTTTTGAGGAGTGGAATCGAGAGATATGTGGGTAAAAAACCCTCAGGAATCAATGTGAGTTGGCAATCAACAAAAGCATAGTACTCAAGAGTCACCATTGATCCAACCAATACCAATCCTCCCTCGCTTGCTTTAACCATATCAACGCCTAAATTTATTTAGTTGAATCTCGTGAATCGTTGATAGTAAGCTAATCTCTAGAGTTACAATAACAGAACAAGTTCAGGGCCAGTCCTAGCCAGAAGTCAGAGCTAGACCTGGCTTCTTGTTGGGCTTTGGTCTTGATCCTTGGCTTAGCTTACAGGCTAAAGCCTAGAGCATTCTCAAACTCAGAAGTTCAGTACACCAAACCCAGCCAACCGATCCTTTATTAACTCACCCCTTTGCAATCCATCCACATATTTAACCCTCTTGTTAACGCTCATTTCATGCCAGAGCTCTTTAAATAAACTGATATTCGATTCGGCTATCATTTCTGTTCTCGTTTGACTGTTTACATCCATTAACATAATGTAGTGACCAGCTTTAATCGATCGTAGCATTCCTTCAACGGCTGGAAAGGAAGGTTATTTGAATTTTGAAGTCAATATCTACATGTAAACGGTAGATTGATACGTTGAACGGCGAACAGAGCGACGAGTGAACCGGTGAATGTTGCCATCAATGTCATCGCTGCTAGCCACCATAATGCTAACAAAATTCGGCAAGTCCATGAAGATGGTTGATGGGGAAGACCTGGATGGATTAAAGCCAGCAATTGTGCTTCTATAGATTTCTAGTCAGCTTAACATTTTCTGTAAATCTTAGCCAAGGACTTTAGTCACTTTCCTACCACGCCAAGGACAAGCCAAGGACTTTAGTCATTTTCCTACCTTGTTGCACGAAAATTGAGAAGAAAATCCAGACAGAGTCGAACGGAGAATACTGATGTTCTCCGAGTGAGCCAAGGACTCGAGTCAGCAATTTTAGTACAATGCCTGAGGCAAGAATCGCGATAGCTGTCAATCCCCACACCTAGAGGGAATTTCAGTGTACTTCGATTCAATTAAACAACGATAACTTTCATTTTTATGCTGGAAGTACTGGTAAACTCACTTCCCATTTGAAAGGCTGTGTAACAATGAGAAATGTGTGATCAGAGTATCGGATCGGTGTCCGAATCAACATCCCGGTTAGTTCGAACTCGAATGGATAGGTGAGATCAGAGATGAGACTTCGATCATATTGCATGATTGTTGCCCCAGCGATCATGTCAGCTTCCTAGAGCTCGAGTTTTGAGTCCTTTAATTGCCCAGGCACTATACAGTAATAAAGAAGTAAAGGAGTTGACAAGAATTGAAGATTTTCGTTATTGAAGGAGAGTGAACCCTAGACCTTGCAAGGTGGATGCTTGTCAGTCAATTGCTCTAACCACTGAGAAAGAGAAAGGGGGAAAGACAAGGAAGAAGAAAGAGTTCTTCAATTCTTTACATCTTTGTAAAAACTTGGTAGAAATTTTTGAAAATTGATCTAGAAATGTTGACTTGAGCATTCAAAAACAAAAACAGAATTTTCAATTTCAATCAATTTTCAAAATGAAATCCCCTAACTCACTCCTTTATAAAGTCTCCCGAATGCTCCATTCCATGTGCCATTCACAAGATTTCCCCATTTTGTGTCATTCGTGACCACGAGCTCATAGGTGAGGTTCAAGGTTTTTCCAATATCCTATATTATTGGGTTGGTGAATTGAAAGCTTCGAGTACTTTCTTCAAAAGAAACCCATTTTGGTGTGAATGGAAAAGTTGTAGAGAATCAAAAATCAAGCTTATATCCAAATTTTCAGAACGATTCAAAAGCTGGTTTTCAAGAAATGTCGAATTTACGAATTTTCACAAAACTTGCATTTTAAGCGAAACTACTAAGTGTATCTTTCTGGAAATTTGGCTATAAGCCTCATTTTTGATTCTCTACAACTTTTCTATTGACACCAAAATGGGTTTCTTTTAAAGAAAGTGCTCAAACTGGGACATTGGGACATCTCCAGTCCTCCATTTTTGAGTCTCACACTCGTCTCACACACAAACCAAAATCCTACTACGAAAGAGGAATCCGCAAATTGCCTGTAAAATGGGCAGAAGTCGTCAATAATAATGGAAATTATTCGGAATGAATTCATGGTTTTATGTTCAATAAATTTTAGTTCAAAGTCTCGCAGTTTTCAATTCACGAACCCAATATAAATATAATTGTTTAACGACTCCTAACCTTCATAATCTCAACGACAACTCCTGGATTGTACCCATGATCTTTGACGGCCGACGGAGTGAAATTAATGTAGTTCACCTGAATGAAAGCTTTCAAATTCAACTAACAGCCTACAATAAGTTGTTAAAATATTCATTTCACTTACAAGTTCAATAATTTCAAATAGTAACACTGTAAAGAATATATTTAATAGTTTCTATCCAATTAGCCGGTTCAGTTGACTGACTTGTGAGTTGCCAGGCAATTGCTCTAACCACTGAGCTATTCAGTGACTTGAGAAAGAGAAAGAGGGAAAGAAAAGGTGGAGAAAAGTAGAAAGAAGAAGAAAGAGTTCTTCAATTCTTTATATCTTTGTAAAAACTTGGTAGCTCACTTTAAAGCTTCTATCATATATAGAAAGTGACAGGTCTCAAGATGAAACTCACATATGGCGGCTCCAACGAAGGAACAAGGAATCGCAGGGTTTTCCCCCGTAGTTGCTCCACTGGCACTTTTCGAATCGCATGCTAAACATTTGATTAAACTGTACACCAGTTTATTCAAATCAACTATTCCCTACTCCTTATCCTCTAATCAATGACTCTTAGCAAGCTTACCCATGGACTGGCCGACATTCTGCTTGAAAAATTCTATAGAAAATTAAAATACAATTAGCGTATCCGGAATACGATTCAAGACCAAAGTGTCTTTTTATCTCATATCGAGTAGGTGGAAAAGGAAAGAAACCTTTAGAAAAGCTTTAGAAAAGCTCTCCGATTACTCATTGAGCATTCAATACTTCCAGACAAGGCTCGACTACATATTTCTGTTTGGAGTAAGAAGGAAAAAAAAGTGTGAGGGTGGAAAGTGTACAGTAATCGGTAGTGTTTAGTTATTTCAAGTTCACGCTTTCTAAAGCATGTCAATTTTTGAGAACCACCGTAGTTTTAGTTAGTAGTCTTTAGTTTTACTTTGGCTTACTTCTGTGATGGCTATCAAAAGATATTGAAAAATAGATAACAATCAATATTACTGTAGTTTTAGACACGCTTTAGAAAACGCATCATTCTTGTACCATATACGGATTTGGACTCGTTGTAATGATTGGCGTCTTCTCCATGAGCCTTTCTTCTGCATCTGAAACTTGAAGCTACGTAGAGCATCGAGAAAATTCTTCTCTTCTATAAGCAAGATTTCTACCTTCTTTGATGTACGGCTCAATCACATCGATATCAATCAATCCACTAGAGTTAAGAGGAATATTGACAGGTGTGAGTTCGGTGAAAACAATGCTTTTGTGTAAAATTACCAATAAAGCCCTAAAAAGCATTCTCTGCAGTGAAATGAACCAATGAGACCGATGAAATTCGACCTATTGCCCATTTTTAAGTGGCTTTTCATGAGTGGATAGGTCTTTTCGCTTTCGTTTCTCCATTTCTGTCTATGCGTACTTTGAACTACACCTCAAATTTATTACCAACAAGTTGATCTTTAAAAAAAACGTGAACAATAAAAAAATGTAACAAAAACATTACATCCTAGAAAATCGGTCTTTACATAGGAAAATACCATAATTTTTATGAGAATCAGGAATAATGAAACAAAAACGAACGATATAATATATATTATATATATGATATAATATAAAATTGGCAAGCACAATGGCATCATTCAAATGGATACTTGGAAAGGAGGTGTTGCATCAGTCCATGAGGGTCCAACTTCCAGGCTGCTGAAGATTCTTATGTTACAGATAAAGAAATATTTGATTGTAGCGCACTATTAGAACATGCTAAGTCTTTACAGAAATATTGGCTCGGTGGGTCTGAAATGCCGCTTTTTTCCGATGGATCCCTAAACTTGTAAACAAAATGGAGGTGGGGGGTTGTTGCGTGAAACTGATAAAGTCAAGAACACTTCTCCAAAAACAATGAAACCGGCTTTCTTCACTTTCTGTTATTTCGAAATTTTGGCAGCTTTTTCTGTGGCTATGGAAAATCTACCACCTGGAGATCTGCGACACGCTATTTTGTACGAATTTCTACGAGGATACAAGGGCCTCTAGTGTTCAGCTAATATTAAAAATTTTTATATAGAAGGATAAGCTCCACCACGGACATGTGCAGACTGATTTGCTAAATTCTGTTCTGCGGATGAATCACAAAGTGAATAAATCAGTTGTTTATTTTTAGCGATATTTCATACCCACCAACCCAATAACTCTCAATTCAGTCAGTTTTTTATTATGACGGATTATAAAGGTTAATAAACCGATACTTAAAAAAAATTACCGTCAAGTGGAATTTCTTTTTCTTCGCTGTCCACCACCACATTGACAAAATATTTGCCTTCTGTGTACATGGCACGTCGAATTTTCATAACCAAAGGAAGGAGTCCACCCTCTGGTTCACCGTCGGCTTTGTTGTCACTAAATCAAATAAAACCATATTAAAAGAAATTTATCGCTCAAAAGCTTAAAAAACTTACACTTTGGCCACCTTGACAGAGAGTTTTGGGACGGATGCAGAAGCGTCATAAAAAAAGGATTTTTATTAAGCAAGTAAAATGTACATACGAAAGACTCTGCATTTTTGCGCTTTTCTTCTTCGCGTTTCTGTTTCTCGAGTTTCTTGCGTTCTTTTTCCTAAAAGAATTGAATCATAGCTTTTACACATTGCTAGCTTTAAGCGATTTAAAATACTTACTGCTTTACGCTCGGCTTCACGAGTTTCCGATCTTTTCCCTTCCTTCTCAACTGAAATGCTCTTGCTTCCAGTGCTCCTACGGATTGAGTACTTACCAGCGTCACTAAACTACACTTTTAAAGAAGAAAAATTAAATCTTGTTAATTTTTCAAGATTTTACATACTTTCCGGGATCATTCTTCGGCTTTTTCTTCTCTTCATCGTCGTCGCTGCTTTCTATTAGCCAAGACTGACCAATTGCTCCAAGTGGCTAAAAATAAACATAACTATGCTTTTGAATTTTGTGATACCTTTGGTGGTGATAGAGCTTTTTTCATGGGCACGGTAGCGGCGCGTCTACGGCTAGATGACTTCTTGCTGTCAGAACTAAAAAAATCCATGACCATAAAAACATTGCTGTAGTTTACTAATCTTCATCCTCATCATCTTTGCTGTCATCCTTCGAAAGGCTTCGGCTCATGCGACCCTTCTTTGAAGATGAGCTTTCGTTTTCTTCATCTCTGTCAACCATGTGGACTGGGCGCTTTTTAAGCGGCTTTGGAGTAGTAGAAGATCGTTTTGCGGCCTGCTAAACAAAGAACTTTTAGTTGGCTAATGAACTATACCTGGGCTTTGAACTCTTCCACAATATCTGCCGCTGAGTTCATCAAATTTGTTTCAGGTTCCCAGCTATTGTGTTCTTCCCCATACCCTTTCCAACGAACCTATGATTATTTATTAGTTGAAAAACAGATAAAATCTACCAAGTAGACTCGCTTTTTCCTCTGGACCCTGGTAGCAAGCAACTCCTCCACCTAAAGCAAATATATACTATAACTAATGCATTTTTATACTGTTACGTATTAAAGCGTACTACGTTAAAAGGCAAACCTCGAAAACCTCTCCATCGTCTCCAGATTCTTCGCTCTCTTGCTTGTCGTGGGACATCTTCTATAAAAGTTTATTTGTGACAATTAAATGATCGATTTTAAATCAGAAAAGAATACAAAAGAACAAAACAATAAATGACAATTCCAATTCTAAAAATAAGGCATACATATTATTTCTTTTTTGAAGATCCGAATCCACCAAATCCCATCATTGCTGCCATTTCAGGATCTAACTCGCCATCCTTTTCTTTCTCTTTCTTCTTCATTATCATCTCTCGCTTCTTGAACTCAAAGCGCGACTTCACATCGTCGAGGGTGCTTCGCTTCACTTTCATGTTCATTCCCATGTTGCGTTGATGATTCTTGCCGTTTATGTGATCCAAGAAGTTGATCGAGTCATGGACCAAACAATCGCACACATCGCAGTAGTATCCTCCCGATTCGACCGATGGTGTCGCTTTATTGATAACAACACTACGGCCAATCTTCGACTCCAAATCGACTTTGTAGTCGCGAGCCTTCAGGATGTCACGTTTCACTTTCGCTTCTTCTTCCGGCTTCCTCCAAAACTGCTCTTTGGGCGGTGACCTGAGTATGAGTCTATTGTTCCATGTTCTCCGATGGCTCGTTCCCGCAGCATTGTTGCTCGTAGAATGACATGGCTCGCCCTAAAAATGATAGGTAAGTGAAGAAGATAAACCTCAACGTTAAGAAAAGTCTTAACAAGAGACAAACAGTAAGCAAACTAGGTGGCTGTAATTGGGCTAATACCTAGGCAATGGCTTTGCTAAATACCTACTAAAATTCAGAGGCTTCATCCGTAAATCAGCGTCAAAGCAATACCCTATCGTTTACGATTTTTTCTGCGCACCCGGCCCATTAGCGCATCTTTTTTCGCGTTTTAAAAAAAGCTCTAAAAGACTAATATTAACCAATTTTTATTCCAAAAGTTGTTTTCCTGGGTAATTTTAGGGCATAGAATCTAAGTTTTGACATATCAGGGCTCGTGGAATCAATTTGAAAGATAAAACGAATAAGTCAAATTACAGAAAATTGTCGATTTTTCCCTATGTATAACTTCGTCCTTTGCTTATATTGCTTAAAGAAAAAAATATCGGACACGAAAATGAGAAAGTAGGCCCCAAAAGAAGAAGAAAGAAAAGCACTAAAAGAAATTCTTTCTGAGCGCTCTTTATGTACAGTACTGGACAATGAAATATCATATTTGAAAAAAAGATCGTCACTTTCGCGCGTCTGTAACTCCCTTGTCTTTGAGTTTAAACTATTAGTGTTCTAGGGGGTGGGACAAATGCGACCTTTTTTTTTGCGCACCTGGACATTTGCGCACCTTTTTTTTGCTGGAAAAGGCCTTAGGAAAGGTCATAGAGCTTCGAAAACATTTCGAAAATATTTCCATAGAAGGGAATCGTATGCGTAGATTCCGAATTTCGACAAATCAGACCTCGCTGACACGTCAAATTTGGGCTAAAAGGCAAAAACTGCGGAAAAGCGTTAAGTTGCGTAGTTTTTGCCTTTTCGCCCAAATTTGACGTGTCAGCGAGGTCTGATTTGTCGAAATTCGGAATCTACGCATACGATTCCCTTCTATGAAAACATTTTTGAAGCTCTACGACCTTTCCTAAGGCCTTTTCCAGCAAAAAAAAAGGTCGCATTTGTCCCACCCCCGTGTTCTACATTTTTTGAAAGCTCTTTTCAATGGCTACATAATGGTAATATTAATATCTAGAAATACGGTAAAGACAAGGGAGTTACAGACGCACGAAAGTGACGATCGTTTTTTCAAATATGATATTTCATTGTCCAGTAGTGTAGTTTTGTTTTCCGTCATAGAAAGGGTTACGGTATTATCCACGTTTTAGCGCGCAGAAAGTCGTCAAACGTGATTTTTGTCTTCAAAACGTTATAACTTTTTTGTGAGTTGGTCAATTAATACGGTTTTGGAAGCAAAATAATCACAGACAAGATTTTGGCAAAGTCTACTCCGTGGCCTTTCCTAATTTTTTGTTATCATCGAGTCAGTGAAGCGCCAAATGTAGGTGATTTTGGTCGCTTCTGTGTAAAGTGACCGATTTTTTTGATAGGCGATTTTTAAAAATCTACAAGACGAATTTTGATAATTTTTCGCCATTAAATTCAATTGCGGAGCGAATACCCCTTCTACTCCACCAATTCCTCGCTTGTCGAGCATTCGGTGAGCGACACTTTCGACGACAGGAACTCCTATCTAAACGCTGACAAAAGACATGTGGCTTGTCGCGTTGAGAGGTATGTGTGCTCCATTTCTGTGTATTTTTTCTCTCTCTTTAAAGTTCACAGATACAATTTATTAATTATCACATAGCAATACGACCATCTACACACCAAAATAGCAAATAAATTAAAGGCATCATAAAAAAGGGCGAAATTTCAAAAAAGAATATGCGACAAAACGAAGTTCTCATCAATACAAACAAAAAAATCACAGTACAAAATCCGGTAATTAAACAAGACCAATCTTCAACCGTTAGAAAACAATTTAGCGTTGAGATTGCACGGCGGATATACGAAGTCCCGATGCAGATTTTCCAATCTCGGCCACCAAGCACACGTCACACGTCTCTCCCTGCAGACCCTCCGAGTAGAATGCACCACAGAACGGACAACTAAAAGTAAAATGTTTTAAGCATGATAGAACACCTAAAATTAGATGTAAACAAGCTAAAACAAACCGCGTTTGTGGACGTCCTCGATAAAGTGGAGTAAATGTACGTGAGCAAACTTTGAAGGGATTGTGCTCATCGTAGGCCAACTCAATAGCATCGTTGTTTTCTTTTTCAGCAACGGCTAGCACTTTGCGAATTTGCGCAGCAACTTCCGGTTTTGGTCCTAAATGTACACATTGGGTGATCAAAAAGGTTTGATTGATACAAACCAAGCTCGAGAAGACGCCGACACAATGAAGAGCACGTCCGCATTTGCTTCAACTTGAAGAACGTATTGACCGCAGTTCGAAGCGTCAATATCCGATGCACGGGCTGGAGTTCGAAGTTGGTGAAATAGGCACAAAGTTCAGCGTTTCTAAAATAAAATTTTATGAATGAAGCGTTCAGCTAAAGTCACCTCTTGATTTCTTCAGGGCTATTCTTGGGAAGATCTTTGCGATATGTCTCAAGCAAAAGTCCAGCCAGGTATTCTCGGCAGATCTCCACGAGTTGTTCAGCTTCGGCCACTTCTTGCTTGCTGTTGACAACGAGGAGAGGTACGCTGTGCAGGATTTCACGAAGACCATCGACCGCTTCAACAAACTTTCCTAAAAGATACGTCTTTAAAATGAAACAAAATGACCAAAACCTTGGGTTGTAAGAAGATAGTTTTGCTGCAGTTGGCTGGCCAGATGTTTAAGATTGAATGGAGCAACCGGCAGCCCATTACGTCCAGTAGCTTCTTGCCAGTTACGCAAAGGATATCCGAAGAGTGGTTTTGATACGCCGGGCATTCCGAGGTAAACAGTGCGAGAACGGGCAAATGCTTCGGCAAAGATAGTCTTAAAAATTAATAAATTAAATTACTTATTTTCAGACTACCTTCAATGGCTGAATATCAGACAGCCCAATAGTATCCTTTAGAATTCTTTCAGCAGTTTCCCATGAGCCTGCAGCAACATGATCGGCAGCAAGACGAGATCCTTGAGTCCAGTGAGTTGAGGGCTTTGGTCCGCGAACGGGCACAACAAATCCTTCGTCGTCGGCTTCTCCTTGATCGTTGGAAATCTAATGACAACTAATTAGCTAAGCATAAACAATTTACCTCTGGAATCGCAAGATCGTCATCCACATCCCAACCACCTTCTCCATCATTGCCTTCATGTGCAAGATCACCTTCGTCGATCTAAACAAAACTGTACGAATTTTAGCTATTCAAAGCCTCACTTCCATTTCTCCATTTTCGTCAACGAGGTACTCATCGTCGTCACCCCAACCAGCTTCGCCTTCGCCCAGCTCTTCGTCTCCATCGGCCACAGCAAATGCAGTAGCGGCAGGGGTTTTTCCGGCGGTCGTCTTTGAGGTGGCAGATGGAGCGAGACCAAGAAGTTGTGCATCAAACGGACCACGAGCGGTTGCCAATTGAGGCCAGTTCTCTTCAATCTGTAAAAAATGAAAATGTTAACAACGACAACTGAACAAACCTTGATAATCGGAGGTGGAGGGACAAGCAAGCGAGCGTTCGGATCAACTGGTGGTACGGGCTGTCCTTTTGCTTCCAATTCAGCCTTTAGTCCCTCGGCTTCATCCTCAAATCCATGGGTTGCAGCATTAAGATAGGCAAGAGATGATTGTCCCAAGTTACGCAACACTAAAACACTATTAGTTGCATGTAGAACAGTTCTTCCAATTTACCTTTTGTTCGCTCTTTCACGTCACCAAGATAAAGAGCCGTTTGGAAATGACCATGAGCATCTTTTCTCATTTCAGCAATGCGCATCATTTTTGAGAGCTTCTCAGTGTTTCCCGTAACAAGGTAAAGGAAGGCCAGGCGTTCGAAATCCTTAGTTCTGTAAAGAAAGTCAATAAATAATCCAATCAAAGTGTGCAAACCTTTGATAGGCCATTTCAACAATCTGGTGGTTGCCATGCATCAAAGCGGCTTCTCCAAGTGCTTCCCAGATTGGTTTTTCATCCATAACCTAGAATAAGGATAAATACAATTGATGCCAACGTGCGAACTTTTGCCGTCTCCAAAGCCACGTCAAGATTGCCACATTCGAGAGCCAAACCAAAGCGAGTCTTTTCGTCTTTCACAAAGTGAAGAGCAATCTCAGGATACCCCTAAACAAAAAGTTTTAAATTATTTGCATTAAATATTACCTTCTTTTCCAAATAACCAATGATTGATTGTCCAACAAGATTAGCCGATTTCACAGTATTAAGCACTTCATCGATTCGGCGATTGATCAACGCCAACTTGAAGCGGTATTCGGTTGGATCAATTGGAACTTCTACGGGTTGCGCTTCACTAAAATGAATGAAGTCATTTATTTTGTTTAATAAATCCGAGTACAAACCGATTCAAGCAAAACAAGTTGGATTGTTTGATAGCCAGAAGATAAAGTGGCACATCCAAAGTTCGCACGATTCCACTATCGCCAGCGACCAATGCATATCTGAATACACGTGTTTAAAGTGATAAAAGTTAAGGGCCAACTTGATGTGATTGCTTGTGCTGTATAGGAAGACTTCGTTTCCATCCCAACATCCGGTTTTGACACGAACAGATTCATTCACAGTGTAGAGTACCTACATAAGATTTTAAAATATTCTGAAGTTAAAGCTATACCTCAAGGCGACGATTGACGAGAATCACGGCAGACTTTGAAATCAAAGCGGCGCTTTCATTGTTGGCTGACCAAACCACATATTTCACCTAAAGAGATCGCATACAAAAGAAATAGTTTTTTTATACTACCTTGTTTGCTTTGACATGAGCAATCACTCGTTTTTGCTGCACATCAAATAAATGGAGCCCTTCATCATTTCTAAAATTTTAACTTCAGCAACTTTCCAAAGTAATTTATGTATTTATGTAAAGCAAGCAATAAATATTTACCCAAGTAGCAACAATCCGGTTCCAGCATAGAAGAGGTCATTGACTGCGATGTTGTGTTCAATCTTGCGAAGCTCCTTGTTTGTCAAATCGCGAAGAGAAATCTAAAAAAGTCTGCTTTGAAAGTTGTACAAGCCAATACCTGATGATTTTTGTCCAATACAGCGTATCTGTTGCGAGCCACCCAAACAGCAGCAACTCCAGCGGATCGATTGGCTACAGCGGCATCATTTCCTTCGCCTCCTTCTTTGACAACTTTGTATACGTCGTAGGTGCACATTTCCCGATTGTGTGAGCGTGTTGTAAGTAAGAAGCAGCTTTCCGCAGCATTATAGTGAAGCGCATAGTAGGGTTGCATGAAGGCAGCTCCAGCACGAAGTTTCACAACAGCTTGGTCTTTTCTAAATAAAACCAATTGATTATCCAAAAAGACTCCAAGTACCCGGTGGTCAAATCTAAGCGCCTCATTGTCTTGTCCTTGACGTAGAAAACCAGATTGTCGGAGACACAATAAGGCGGCCTTTCACGTTGAATCTTGAAAACAATCATTCCGTTGTCGTGTCCAGCAGCAAACATGTTGAGATTCGGATGGGCCGACATCACCCAAAAACGCTCGTTCTCGTGTCTAGAGCTTAATTAAATACAAATTTCTAATAATTATTAACCTGAATACATGTAAGCTGGTCCTCTTCTGCATGTCCCAAACGCGAATGCTTTTGTCTTCGGAGTTCGATAGGATCAATTCAGCATTTGGGTGGAACAAGACCGACGAGACATTGTTATAGTGACCACGGCAAGCATCAACCTAAACGATTTATTTTATAAAGACTATCACCACCATAGAGATACCTCCCAAGCCTTGCTTTCATTGTAACGCCACATCTTCACTTGACGATCGTCTGAACCGGAAACCAAAATCGGCATTGTTTGATGGAAGGCAACCCAGTTAACTCCTAAAGTAAATCAGTAAATTACATATCATCTTCAGATCAACCTCGATCGTGCCCCTCGAGAACATGCTTAACAACGACATCAGGTTGTCCAAAAAGATCGGCTTGTCCAGCGGCAGCTCCAGCTCGGCCTCCGCCAGGCACTCCACCTCCAGGCATTTGCTTCTTACGAAGTCCCGAGATGTCCCAAATGCGAACCGTTTGATCAAGTGAAGCGGAAGCGACGAGATCTTCCGATGCGTGGAATTGAGCGCACATCACGTAGTGGTTATGTCCCGTCAAGATGGCGATGCTCTGCCGACTTTGCCAATTCCAAATTCTCACCGTCTGATCATCTGAAATAGAAACAGTTTATGAGTATTTAAATAGAAATGCTCACCTGAAGCAGAGATAATCCATGGATATTTGTGATGGAAGAATGTGGTTCGAATGTAGTCCAAATGGCCAAGCAGGGTGAAGATACATCGCTTTTGTTTGTAGTTCCACACCTAAAAAATATCATAAAATAGATAGATAAAATAGATAACATACAAAATAAATAGATAACACAAAAATCTATGTAAATGTAAATGCACCTTGATTTTGTAGTCATCACCACCGGAAACGAAGATTGGTTGATCTGCGTGGAAGCAAATCCCTCGAACGGGTCCATCGTGTTCGTCATATTTGTCGAGCAGCACGTGCATTCGATAGTCCCATAGCTGAATGATTCCACTGTGCAGCGAAGCGAGCACCCATGGGCGAGTCGGATGAAATGAGATTCCTAAATTAAAAGTGTATAACAAAAACGCTGTCCTTATATTTTTGAAAGTCAATCGCCTATTAAATGTAATCGTTTAGGCTAAATTGAACTTTAGGTTCCAAAAGGTCAAAACAAAAAGTCGAATTTTTTGGTTTAAAAATTCCCCCCCCCTCATTATTTGTGTTTTTTGTGCATAACCAAGCATTAGAAATAATATTTAAAAGAAATTAGGTAATTTTAGCTCTAGACCGTAAATTTTAATTTAGCCGCCGTTTATAAACATACATAATATACGAGTGAATGGTTTCAGCAAAAGTAAAAATTATCAAAAGTTAGCAAAACACCAAACATACCTTTCACTCTAGCCGACTTTGATTCGAATTTCACAAGTAAAGACATCGTGGTTCGTAGGGAAATCTAAAAAAGTAAAAATTGAAGAAATTGACCGAATAATAAGAAAAACGAAAATAATAACGCGTGTCAAAGTTTCGCTGTAGAAGATGAACAGAGATAAATGAAAAATCCAAAATGTGGAATTGTGCCGCGTGGCCAACGCTACGCAACTGTACCCCCTCGTACATCCCCGTGAAAATTTCTAATCAAACGTGGGGTAAGCAAGCGACAGAGAAAAGAACACAAAGCCTTACAAGGTGCCACAATATGTTTGCTACAGAAAAATAATTCAGCTGCAAGGTTTACGCAAAGCACATAATCGAGATTAATCTACAAATCTACAGCTTTACAAAACTGACCTAGTTTGCTTCTTCGCCTTGTTTTCAAATTTTTTTCTGTGTTTTGCCATGCTTAACTAATCTTAAACAATCGTTTTATTTTTAGATCAGGGGTAAGCATCAGTTTATGTGCAATGATCCTCTTTGGACCTCAGAAACAGGTGTGTCTTTAAGAGCTTTTAAAATTGTTTGGTTGCTGACTTAATATTTAAACTTTTTAGGAGACGTTCATCCGACTTCTTGCGCTTGCCCTCGCCGCCACCGTTGCCTTCATTCTTCGTCTTTTTGCCGTCATTCGCTATGAGTCGGTGATTCACGAGTATGATCCGTATTTCAACTACAGGTACACTTTGTTTATTGGCATTCATAAATTTTACAATTGAACTATTAATTTTTACAATCTTTGCTGTTTAGAACAACCCAATATTTGACGGAAAATGGCTACTATAACTTTCACAATTGGTTTGACGAGAAAGCTTGGTATCCACTTGGGCGCATCATCGGTGGAACAATTTACCCAGGTTTGAACTTAAAAATACTGCTTTTTTATACTTTTTTTCTTTTCTTTATTTCCAAACTTTAGGTCTAATGATGACTTCACTGGCTATCTTCCGTTTCTTGCATGCTCTTCATGTCACGATTCATATCCGAGAGGTAACTGTTGCATTATGAATTATGATTCACGTACCTACTTTCTTAGGTATGTGTTTTCCTTGCCCCGCTGTTCTCGTCATTTACAACAATCGTGACATATCTGCTAACCAAGGAGTTTTCTGTAAGTTTTGGTTTACTTTTTCAAGTTTTACGCTTTTTTAAATCTGTCAAACTTAGTAAAAATTATTTAGAATTCTGGAGCCGGGCTTTTTGCTGCTGCTTTCATCTCGATTGTTCCGGGATACATTTCTCGATCGGTGGCTGGATCATACGACAACGAAGGAATCGCCATTTTCTGCATGCTCTTCACTTACTACCTGTGGATTCGCTCTGTCAAATCGGGATCAATTATGGAAGCTGCGGCATGTGCACTTGGTAGTTTTATTTTTCTGTGCATTTAATTTTGAAATTTGTTTAGCCTACTTCTACATGGTTACGTCATGGGGAGGTTACGTGTTTCTCATCAACTTGATTCCTCTTCATGTTTTGGCGCTGATGATTACCGGTCGTTTCAACAACAAACACTACGTTGCATACACAACGGTATATTTTTGTTTATTGTTTTGAATTAAGTTTAGTTTAGGTTTATTCAATTGGAACGATTTTGTCAATGCAAGTTCCTTTCGTCGGATTTATGCCAATTCTCACTTCAGAACATATGGGGGTAAAATATTTGTGAAGTTGTACAAGTTTCATTGGTAATTTTAGGCTCTTGGCGTTTTTGGCCTTTGCCAAATTGTGACATTCTCGCGATGGCTTCAAAAGACGATGTTGCCCGGTGACTATGACTATCTTTTCCGCTCTCTCATTATGCTGTTCGCGAGTGCTCTTGGACTCGCACTAGCTCTTGCTACTTTCTTTGAAAGTAAATTTTTAAACGTTATTATTGCAAACTCATTTATCCTCTTTAAATTTTCAGAAGTTGCTCCTTGGACAGGGCGTTTTTATTCTTTATTGGATCCATCATACGCGAAAAACAACATCCCCATCATTGCCTCAGTATCCGAGCATCAACCAACTGCATGGTAATTTTTTTTTGCTTTGTTTACGCTAACTTTATTTAGGTCATCTTATTTCTTCGATCTTCATTTCTTGGCAATCGTTTTCCCGGCTGGATTATATCAATGCTTCAAGAACTTAAATGACCACAACATTTTTGTTATTCTCTACGCACTTACCTCAATTTACTTCTCGGTTTGTTTTTTTAAAATTTTATCCAAATAAATTTTTAGGGAGTGATGGTTCGTTTGATGTTGGTCTTGGCACCTGTCATGTGCATTATCGGAGGAATCGCTGTAAACGGTTGGTCTACATTTAGTATTAGTCAATCTTGAGATGGATGTTTGCATTTTTAGCCCTACTATCTTCTTTCATGAGAAACGTTGACGCTCCATCTCAGACTGAGCAAGCGAAGCAAAACCTTTCCAAGAAAGACAAGGAAAAGCAAAACAATTATCCCTTCAAGGCAGAGGTAACGTTTGGAATGTACAAATTCTATCGATTAATGATATTTAGATTGCTTCAGCTGTTGTTTTTGGAGTTCTTTGCCTTTCAGCCACATACGTCACTCATTGTGAGTATTATTTTTTTGTTGTTTTGTCTATTATGTACATTTCTTGAATATAAATTTAGGTGTCTGGGTAACCAGCGAGGCTTACAGCAGCCCTTCAATTGTGCTCGGATCGAGGCGTGGATTTATGCTCGACGATTACCGAGAAGCCTACTCTTGGCTCCGAGAAAACACACCAGAAGTGAGAATTTTTAGTAGCACTTTATCATAACTTTTAGGACGCTCGAATCATGTCGTGGTGGGATTACGGTTATCAAATCACAGCCATGGGAAACCGAACAGTTCTTGTCGATAATAACACTTGGAACAACACTCATATTTCTCGGGTTGGTTGATTTTTGCTTTTTACATATTTTATTAAATATTTAGGTTGGACAAGCGATGGCTTCAAACGAGTCACATGCAATCGAGATTATGAGAGAATTGGATGCCGACTATGTTCTTGTCATTTTTGGCGGAGTTGTAGGCTATTCAAGCGATGGTGAGAGCATTTCTTTTTCTTAACTCAAAACTTTTAGATATAAACAAGTTCTTGTGGATGGTACGAATTGGCGGAAGTACTCCTGAAGGTCGTCACATCAAAGAAACTGATTATTTCACAAAAGGCGGTGAATACAGGTTTAGATTTTGTAGAAGTTTAACGATTTTCAACCATTTTAGCATGGGTAAAGAGGTTTCGCAAACAATGAAAGACTCCGTGATGTACAAGCTCTCGTACTATCGATTTGGTCAAATTCAAACCGAAATGGTTGGCTTAAAGTCAAACCTTTTATTTTAAAATTTGTTTAGGGTCAACCTCCTGGCTTTGATCGTGTTCGACGAGAAGAGATCGGTCACAAAGAGATCCAGCTAGAGACGATGGAAGAAGCCTACACAACCGAACATTGGATCGTAAGAATCTACCGCGTGCTTCCATTGCCGAACAAAGGAGTAAAACGAGAAAAATGAATGGATCATCGGTTTCTTTAGTTTCTGTTATAGTATGATTTTTTGTTGGTGAAATTTGTTTTCCTTGGTTGAATCTTTTTTTGTTCTGTTGAAATCTCTACACTCTCATGGCTTTACCTTTGCTAAGTCAACTTTCTCAGTAAGTACTTTCTATGTTTTACCCTTCGGGTTATTTATGTGATATATTCTATGAGGTCTTTAAATTATCTAAACGTGTCTCTGTGTATTTTTATTTTTAGGAATAAATTATGAGGGAATTGAACATGATTTGGAGTAAAAGGCGTGGTCGTTTGAATTATGCTTGTTAGAAAAAAGTTGGCGAATCGTTTTTAAGACAAGGTTAGGTTTGCTGAAATGCGATCGATTTCTCTCATACAACAATCTCGTTCATTTGCTTCTAGAAATCTAATTCATCGAGCTGGTCTATTCTCGGTGCCAAAAGAGAAGAGTCTTTTTATAGGTTTGATGCAATAGTAAACTTGTTTCAGAACATTTTCAGATGAAAGTGGCACTAAATTATCGTATGGAAAATTTCTAACAAAAACGGGACAATATGCTGCTACTCTTCACGAGGATTATAAGATACAAGTGAGGCAATGAAATTGAATTGAATTGAAATACACTGTTATTTTCATCTTGTTCTGATTGATATAAAATGAACTCATTGCAGAAAGGCGATCGAGTGCTGAGTCGAATAGAGAAATCGATCGATGCGGTGGCCTTGTATTTGGCGTGTTTACAAATTGGAGCCATCTATGTACCATTAAATCCCGATTATAAACAAGAAGAGACAAAGCATTTTATTCAAGTAAATTTAAAACTTTACCAAAGTTCTACGCAAAAGAAAATTCCTCTCAAATAATTTAGGATGCTGAGCCGAAGCTCTTTGTCACGAGCCAGCTTGAGTTGGACAAAGTGCATTCCGAATCCGTGTCTCATATTGTTGTTGATAAACAATTGGTAAGCATGTTATCAGTAAAAACATTGAAAATCTATTCTGCAGAAAAAAATGATTGAACAAAAGAAAGCGGCTACGGATGTTGAGAGTATGAGAGACGAGGAAACAGCCTCGATTTGCTATACCTCGGGAACGACAGGTATATATGAAAGGATATTTAGACTATTTAGACTTGTCTACTGTAATGGAAATATCTAGACTAAAAATTGAATAGCTTAATATCTAGTTTCCAGGAAAACCCAAAGGTGCCATGCTCACTCACGGATCACTTTCGTCAAACGGAGAGACTCTAGCGAAAATCTGGGGCTTCACGGAGAACGATAGGTGAATTGATAAGAAAAATTTGCATAGCCTTGCCAATTCAACAGCTTATTTAAATCTAAAACTCACCTAGTTACCTAAATAAATCAGTTTCAGATTGCTTCACATGTTGCCATTCTATCACGTTCACGGGATGTTCATCTCTTTGTCAACCACTTTGTTCTCTCATTCGTCGCTTATTTGGCTACCGCGGTTCTCCGAAGAGATTTGTCTTCGACACTTGGCTCAAAGCACTGTACTTATGGGTATACCCACATATTATAGGTAGATAATGAAATGAGATGATCAATTTGTGAGATTAGCTCTTGTACTTGCAAATGCAAGCATTTCTAGCCGTCTCCTCTCTTCTCCTCAATTCCAAAAATCATCGATCCCACCACAATTTCGTCTTTTCATTTCCGGATCCGCACCGCTCTCGTTGGCAATTTGGGAAGAATTCGAGAAGAGAACAGGGCATCGAATTTTGGAAAGATATGGAATGACTGAAGGTTGGCTATCTGAAAAAAAAATCATTCAACAACGTATGGCAAACTCAATTTTCAGCGCAAGTGATTTGTTCAAATCTTTATGATGTGAACGGGCGAATACCTGGATCTGTCGGGAAACCGATTCCCGGAACTGAAGTTGAAAAGGTTTAAAGCTTTAAAGGAAAAACGTTTTTAGCTACGTTTAAACGTAAACGATGGAATCGAGATTCGATCACCGGCTCTTTTCAGTGGATATTGGAGGAATCCGGTGAAAACGAAAGAGGATATGACGGATGATGGATATTTTATTACGGGAGATGTGGGCAGAATCGATGACAATGGTTTTGAAGGGAAAAAGCATTCAGGAATTTGGTTTAGGTTTTCTTCATATTATGGGTCGATCGAAAGATTTGGTGATCTCTGGTGGGTTGAATATTTACCCGAAAGAGATTGAGGATGTTGTTGACAAATTGGACGGGGTTCACGAGAGTGCGCTCATTGGATTGCCGCATAGGTGAGCTGATGGAAGTGGAGAATTTTATGTGTGGCGTAAATTCTTAAATCCAGCTTTTAATGCTTAAGAATCCTGTAAAATCACAATATCGGGGGTGGGACAAATGCGACCTTTTTTTTGCTGGAAAAGGCCTTAGGCAAGGCCGTAGAGCTTCGAAAATATTTCCATATAAGGGAATCGTATGCGTAGATTCCGAATTTCGATAAATCAGACCTCGCTGACACGTCAAATTTGGGCTAAAAGGCAAAAACTGCGGAAAAGCGTTAAGTTGCGTAGTTTTTGCCTTTTAGCCCAAATTTGACGTGTCAGCGAGGTCTGATTTGTCGAAATTCTGAATCTACGCATACGATTCCCTTCTATGAAAACATTTTTGAAGCTCTACGACCTTTCCTAAGGCCTTTTCCAGCAAAAAAAAGGTGCGCAAATGTTCAGGTGCGCAAAAAAAAAGGTCGCATTTGTCCCACACCCCACAATATCTTTTTTGTTATAATATGCGAATTAAAATATTCTTGCGTAAAGACAGAACATCTTTCGTTTCAAGTTTTTTAAGTTGCAGTCTTATGGCAATTCTTTCGGCATACTGTAGTCAGACGATAAACTGGAATACTATAGTCCTAAATCAATATACAACAGTAGTTATCTAGAAAAAACAAGCTTTTTGGGTTCTAAAATTTAACGTCAATCTATGCCTGTATCATTTACTTTGTAAATCCCTCTAATGAAAACAAATTCAAAGAGTTAATCCATATTTTTCACAAAAATTCTCGATTCTTGTTCTCCTAGAAAGTTTGTTGATTGAAAGATTTTCCCACGTTCTTCCCACGTCAAACAAATTAACTCTTTCATCAGATTTTACTGGAGCTTATTTTTAGGCTTTCTCGAATCTCGGGAAATCTATTTTCAGCAAACGAGTTAATCAAAATTAGTTCGGGAAGCACTTTTTATTTTCTTGTCCTTTGTTTCGGGGATAATCCGAGGCCTATCGCGTCGAAAAACGATCCATCCACCATTAGAGAGAACGATTAAAACGAGTTTTTAGCTGAGATTTGCTTTAATAATACTTTTTACTTATTAAATCATAATATAAAGTTTTAGAAAATATTAATATCCTTTGGTAAACGCTTTCTGAAAATGGCATTCAGTTAGAAGCGAAACGAAAAACAATCCAAAATAGGTCAAAAGGAAAAAACTTGAATAGAAATCAGATTAAATAGCTATCTTGGTGAAATTTTGCAAAAAAAAAGCGAGTTTTTGATAAAGATATATCTTCAGAGACTTGGGCGAGGCGCTTGTGGCGGTGGTGGCGCTGAGGAATGGTGTAAAACTTGACGAGAAAGCGATTCGAGAAAAGTTGAAGGCTCAACTAGCCGGATATAAGGTAAATATAAAAATATACTATGAAAAAGATAAACGACTAGATTCCAAAGCGAGTACTCTTCATCTCAAAATTGCCCCGTAACTCGATGGGAAAAGTGCAGAAAAACGAGCTTCGCAAAGAATACAAAGAGCTTTTTAAGTTGATAAGAAAGGAAATTCTGTTTTTTGTACTTTTAAATGATCATTTTATTTCTCATAGAAATTATTTGTGTTTTGCTCAACTTTAGGGGTGATGTGCATACCATAAATACTGTAATAGTACCCCAGCCCCATAATGAAGGTGCGGAGTGTTGTGTAGTTTAGCTTTGAACGAGTTTTTCTCGACACTGGTTTATGCTACAATGCGCGTTTAGGTATCAAAAAATAGCTGAAATTCAGGGCTATCTTTTGATACTAAAGGGCGCATTGTAGCATAAAGCAGCGCAGAGAACGGGATGTTTAAAGTTAGACTACGCAACCATCCCGAAAAAAACGCGTTTTTCTCGACACTGGTTTATGCTACAATGCGCGTTTAGATATCAAAAAATAGCTGAAATTCAGGGCTATTTTTTGATACCAAAGACGCATTTTTTGAAAGTACCGGCGCTTTGAAACAAATGAAATACTAAAAAACTTTAACTACGCGAAAACTACGCGACTGTACAAGGGAGGTGGGGTACTATTACAGTATTTACGGTAGGTGTCTTAAAAATCTAATAATCTAATAGATATTTATTCAATTTGCATTTCAAAAACATAATAGTTTAATGCAAAGAATTTCCTACAGTAAAGCAAAAGAGATCTAAAAGGAAAAGTGAAATTCTCATGGAAATGAAAGGCTCAAAACATTCAAGATAAAAGGCAAAAGTTTCAAAATTAACAAAAATTAACCGAAGATTTGATAAAATTATTCAATCATTTAATCATTTAAGAAATACTCAACACGGTGTTGACAAAGAGTCGTGTTTCTGGGTTTGCACAGTCGAACTCGAATTCCTAGAGTTAGAGAATAGCTCTTTGACTGTTCAGGGTTCAGTCTTTGACTTTTTTTCAAAGCTAGCACTGTAGCTCTTTGAACACTTATTTTATGAATAGTGTGGATTTATTTGAGATAGTTTATGATCACTGTAGATTATTTATTTCGAGTGTCCCCCTTGCTAGAGGCATTTTGCGTTTTTCTTGACGCACAATTTACCAATTGGGCTGTTTTTTGTTTCATTGAATAGAGGAAAGTTAGACGCATCGAATGAAACAAAAAAAACAGCCCAATTGGTAAATTGTGCGTCGAGAAAAACGCAAAATGCCTCTGGCAAGGGCACTCGAAATGTATACTGTAGATGTCTTATGATGTAGAGTACTGTCGCTGTTTGCTAGAAAGAGTATTTTTACATTAAAACTAGCACCAAGTATTAAAGAAAGCAGAACACCAACCCCGGCTCCCAAATTCCAATCGAAAGAGCAATGCAATTGTTCGGGTGTCTCGGCTCCATCCTTGTCCTCTCGTCCAATCGGAATATCATCGAAAACATCATCAAATAAGCTAAATGAGTATTGTTAACAATATCTGGAAGTGTTTTTCTAATTCAATTAAATCTAATTAATCAATTAATCAATTAATCAGTTAATCTAATTAATCAATTAATCAATGAATTAATCAATCAATCAATTAATCAATCAATCAATTAATCAATTAATCAATTAATTAATCACTTTTCTCCCACCTTTGTGTTGAGGAAGAAACGTGCATTTGCGAGTTGATCACTTTTGACTCATCAACTCCAATTTCTACTCCTCCATAATGCATTTGCTGTTTGGGATCTGGATTCGGAAGAGTTCGCATCATTTCGCGGGCTTCGACAAATCCTAAAATGTGACTGTGTTAAAGAGTTACCTTTTGTAATATTCTCGTTAAGCTCACCAGAGTATTGTGGTTGTGTTTGATAGAAGGCAGGTGTAAATGTCGGTTGATTGAATGTTGTCATTTGTCGAGTTTGTAGTGAATTTCTCAGCTCCATCTTAACGAGATCACTTCGCGTGGGAGGGGCCCAGTAGAGGCTTTGCTGGGGAAGTGAGGCTTCATAGCTAAATTTTGTTCTAAAAATGAACTTCAATTCGAATTTTCTTACTCACCCATAAGACGAGTATCGACACATTTCAGGGATCATTAGGTATTCAGTGCTTGGACTCGTCAACATGTATTCCATCGGGATAATTGGTTGAATATCCTGAAAAGATTTATAAGATAAAAGATCTAAACAATTTTTTAATATTTAAGGTACTGTAAAGCTTTGTCGCATTAGGGTAAGTTAAAAGGTTAAAAGTAAACAAGCGCCAATATTCTTGAGTAGAGTTTGTTCACTTTCGAGCTCAATTTCGGTATCATTTGATGAGGAATTACGAGGCTCAGCCAATGATTTAAAAATTTGGGGGAGTGGGACAAATGCGACCTTTTTTTTTGCGCACCTGGACATTGGCGCACGTTTTTTGCTGGAAAAGGCCTTAGGCAAGGCCGTAGAGCTTCAAAAATGTTTTCATAGGAGGGAATCGTATGCGTAGATTCCGAATTTTGACAAATCAGACCTCGCTGACACGTCAAATTTGGGCTAAAAGGCAAAAACTACGCAACTTAACGCTTTTCCGCAGTTTTTGCCTTTTAGCCCAAATTTGACGTGTCAGCGAGGTGTGATTTGTCGAAATTCTGAATCTACGCATACGATTCCCTTATATGGAAATATTTTCGAAGCTCTACGGCCTTGCCTAAAGCCTTTTCCAGCAAAAAAAAAGGTGCGCAAATGTTCAGGTGCGCAAAAAAAAGGTCGCATTTGTCCCACCCCCGTAGAGTGTGTTCCTTTCGAGCTCAATTTTGGTATCATTTGATGAGGAATTACAAGGCTCAGCCAATGATTTAAAAATTGGATTGATTTGATGAAAACTAACGGTTTGACTACGGTACTTTTCTCAAATAGGTGCATTTTAGAAAACGCATTAGTCGAGAGGAACACACTCTATTCGTGAGTGTCAATAGATAGCTAAAGGAATTTAGTTTTAGTAGATAATGGTTTACTGGAGTCAGATTTGGTATAAAGATTCTTAAAATCTAGTTTTACTTGATAAAATTGATAAGAATAGAGATTTTTCATCGACGCTTTCTCAGCGGAGGCCTGGATTTTCCGCTTCAACGCCTTTGTGACCGAAGGCGCTCCCACCATTTTCCTGAAACGTTTTAAATTGATGAAAGGAATTGATGAAAGGAATGATTTCGAAATTTTACTATTCATTTAATCCATTTCAAAAAAAATCCATTTTAATATAAAATATTACAGAAACATTTAAAAAATATCAATATTATATAAAGAAATGAGCAAAAAGAAAGCTAAAAAGCTGGAAAAGCCACACGGAATCTCAATCATCCATCAAAGGGAAACAAAAAGAAAGGAATTGATGAAAGAAATGATTTCGAAAAAAGAAAAATGATTTAAACTTTGTGATTGATGAAGAATGAAATTGATGTAACTTGTGAAAAGTTCTATAAATTAAAAGCAAAATTTGAAAAGGTTTTTTTGAAAAATATGGCTTTAAGTGAATTCTAGAGCAGCTTATTTAAAGCTAGAGCAGCGTATTTAAAGCTAGAGCAGCTTATTTAAAGCTAAAGCAGCGTATTTAAAGCTAGAGCAGCGTATTTAAAGCTAGAGCAGCTTATTTAAAGCTAGAGCAGCTTATTTAAAGCTAGAGCAGCTTATTTAAAGCTTAATTCTGATATCAGATCATAAGTTTGCTAAGTTTCCTTTTTGCAATTTCGAAATGGTCATTAATTTGTGGCAATAAAATGGCCTTGCTTCTCAACAATGGATCAAGAAAAGCGAAAGAGAGTTGTTCACACAAAAATCAAGAAGAGGCGTGGTCACTGTTGATCTTTTAGTCAAAAAAAAGCAAAAAAAAGAAAGATATTTCAAAAATTCAGCAAGATTTTTGAAAAGATATTAATAAGATAGGATTTCAAACGATAAGAAAAGACAAATGATTGAAAGGAAATTGATGAATTGATGTTTTTGGATGGCTTCTACTGAAATTGACTCGAATCTTGATTCTGCAAGTAAAGCTTTTCTTAAAAGATCGACAAATTTGGAAAGTTATCGTAATTTTCCTTATTTAGTTCTTAATTTAGCTGAGTTCCAAGGATAATTAGTTAATCAGTTAATCAGTTAATCAGTTAATCAGTTACTCAGTTACTCAGTTAATCAGTTACTCAGTTAATCAGTTAATCAGTTAATCAGTTAATCAGTTAACTTGAATCCGATTCAATTTATCAAATCGTAAGTAAGCAAATCTTTATGATATTAAATCAAATCAAATTGTATTCAATATAATAGGTTCAGAATAGTTGTAAGTAATAAGTTCAAGCATAATCTGAATGAAAAATTTGAATAAAAAATGATCATCCCCCCCTTTTTTTTGGCCTCTTTAAATTCGGCTCTCTACGGGGCGCCTCCAGAAGGGGACCTTCTCTCATACGCCAACCTTCCGTTTCCTCTAAAAGCCCCCACAGTTTCTTTTTTAACCGAGTTATTAAATTCTGGAACATTTTACATTTTGTGATATTCCCACCTTGGCTCCCCATCTTGGCTAGATTTAAAGCCGCAATTTCTGCAATTGATTTGACTGCTCTGTGATTCTTTCTCGAGGTACCTATTTATCTTTTGGGTGGGTTTTGAGTGGTGTCCTGGGTAATTATTCTCATTTTGTTTTGTCGCTATTCAACTGAATAACTCAACTATAACTCAACTCAACTCAAATATAATATATATATATAATTTATCAAATCGTAAGTAAGCCAATCTTTATGATATTAAGTCAAATCAAATTTATTCAATTTTTATCAAATTCTAAGTAATTCAAGCATAATCTGAATGAAAAATTGCAAAGTTTTTGAAAAATTATCCATTTTTAGAAATATTTCAAGTTCAAGTTCTATTTGCAAGGCTTAAAAGTTTAAATCAAATTTCCTAGAGTTTAGTTAATGTAAAGGTTTCAAAACTGTAACTAAAATACTCAAAAACTTGTGAAATGAGATTCTTCAATCACTTTTTGTTATCTTTTCAAAATTTTTGTATTAAAAAATGAAAACTCAACAATGAATGATCAAGATTTGGTTGAAAAGATTAAGCAAAAAGCGAAAAACAATAGAAATGTGCATGCAGAGAGAATCCCCATTATTTCCTATCGAAAGGAATTTGTGAATTTGTTTAGAAAATATATTTTTTTTAATTTCTTTTTTGCGATCAAAATATCTTTCTGAAAATACCCGAAAAAATGACCAAAAGGAATGCAATGGGAAATGGGAAAATTTAGAAAAATCAAGCGATCATGTGATTTGAAAAAGAAAAAGAAGGATAAGAAAAGGTTATAAGACACAAAGTAGAAGATTTCTGTCTTAGATTTTCGATCTGTGAACACAATTTTGAAGAACAAATAGAAACACAGCCTTTCTGGTGCACTCGATTTGTCATACTTCGGGAAAATGAAGGAATTAAGTGCATCAGAAAGTGCGTTTTCAATGTTGAGCACAAAGTGCACAACAGGAGATCTTTGAATATAAATAGATAATGAGAAACGCATCCTTTCTAGTGTACTTAATCCTTTATAAAGACTTGAGTGCACCAAAAAGGAAGCGTCTTTAAAGTACAATGATAAAGTACCACGATAAAGTACAACGAGCGTCGATAATAATTAAAAGGAGGCTAATCAAAGTTGGTGATTTGCATGGATTAAAAGAATTTAAGCAAGTAAAAAAGCAAGCAGTTTATAAAAATAAGAAAAAAGATTGTAATTTTCTAGAAAAGCGGTTGATTCATTGTTTCTCTTTGCCATTTAGCGCCTTGTTTTTCTGGTTCTAAGAAAAGAGAGAAAAAAAAAAACGGCAAAGAAGGCGGACAGGATTTGAATTTTCAGAGAAAAAGACCCAAAAGGTTTAAAAGTTTAATGCTTTTAAAGTTTATTTAAGTTTAAAGAGAAATAATTGATAATAGAGGATATAAAGAAGAATTACACAGTAAGACTAAACTTTAAATAATGGGGTAGGCTAATATCCGCCATTTTATTTGCGCAACAGGGTCATTTGCGCAACTCACCATAACTTTCTTCTAAGTAAGTTAATCTTTATGATTTTTGTGTCATTTTGTTACACTTATTGAGATCTACAAAATGACACAAAAATCATAAAGATTGGCTAACTTAGAAGAAAGTTATGGCAAAGTGAACCGAAATTCGTTTAAAAAGATGCAAATTGAACAAAAAAACACTTTTTTTATAGAGCAAACTATAGATTAATTGGTGAATTTGTTACTTTTTAACAGAAGTACGAAAAAAACGAAAAGACTTATGCATCAATCTAATATTTAAGAATATTAAGCTATCGAAAGCACTTTATCAAGTGCTATTCTTTTATAATAAAATTTTGTGGCCGGCTGCTTTGCGCCAAATTTTTTTGAGCAACCCACCATAACTTTCTTCTAAGTTAAACTTTATGTTTTTGGTGTCATTTTGTTACACTTATTGAGATCTACAAAATGACACAAAAATCATAAAGATTAACTTACTTAGAAAAAAGTTATGACGAGTTGCGCAAAAGACCTAGTGGCGCGAATGATCCAGTTGCGCAAATAAAATGGTGGATATTAGCCTACCCCATTATTTCAAGATTACGGTTCAAGATTCAAGCTTTTGATAGCTTAATATTCTTAAATATTGGAGCTACTTTGCGCCAAATTTTTTGTGCAACTGGGTCATTTACGCAACTCGCCATAACTTTTTTCTAAGTAAGTTAATCTTTATGATTTTTGTGTCATTTTGTAGATCTCAATAAGTGTAACAAAAATGACACCAAAATCATAAAGATTGGCTAACTTAGAAGAAAGTTATGGCAAATTGCGCAAAAGAGCTAGTTGCGCAAAAGAGCTAGTTGCGCAAATGACCCAGTTGCGCAAAGAATTTGGCGCAGCCTATCCCGAAATAACCGATCGTCCATCAAATTGATCAAAGTTGAGCGATCAAAGGTGAGAATTTTTGGGAAAAAGTAAACAAATTGAAAGTAAGCAAACGAATAGATAGATCTGAATAGATTCAATTACGCAAATCATCTTTCATTACTTTGAAAATACAAAGACAATATAAAAAAAAAGAAAACAATGAAAACATTTACCATTCTATTGCCAACCAGATTGAAATCGATGGCATAAAGAGAGATTGCATTGTGGTGGAACAAGTTTTTCTTTTTTTGTCAAGACAAAAACAAACACGATCTGTCCATATTTACAAATCGTAACTGGTTTTGGTTGTCCTATAAAAACAAAAAGACAAAGAGAATTGGAGAAATGTTGTTTTATGATGGAAAAGCAATTTTACATTTGGATATTCATTAAAAAAGAATTACTAGGTTATTTGGGGAAGTCTTTTTAAAGAAGTTCTTCTATCTTTTGAGGTTTTGAGTATAAAAAAAAGAAAAATGAAAACATTTTTCATTCTATTGCCAACCAGATTGAATGGAAAATGTCGATGGCATAAAGATCGATTCCAATACGACGACTCAAATTCAAATGCGTTTGGGAGTTTAAGTTTTAAATTTAAGTTTAAAGAATTTAAAGATAGTTTAAAGAATTTAAAGATAGTTTAAAGAATTTAAAGATACTTTAAAGTTACCGTAGTCTGTCTGGCTATCTGGCTACAGTATACTGTAGTTAGACAATAGATAGTGCTTTTAAAAAAATGTGCATTTTATCGTTATTTCAGATTTCATCGCCAGATTTCAGAGAATATCCGAGGCTCGCTTTGCATGGTGCATAAAGAGAGATTCCAATAATTATTGTCCTGGGTAATTATTGTCATTTTGTTTTGTCGCTATTCAACTTGAATAACTCAACATATTATGTTTCAAATTCAAATTTCCTTTTCTAAAGAATAAAACTTTGAAATCATTTTCTATTTTTGAGTGTTTTCAACTATAAAAATCACCTTTTTGGAAAAGTCGAAGAGATTTGAAATCGATGATTGTGTTGTTTTTATTAAAACAAAGGTCAATACGCAATTTTATGCTAAGTTCTAATCCATAGTAGATATTTTTTGCAAAACACTGACAGAGAACGAACAGAGGAAACAAAGAGAACGAGAAACGAATCAAGATAAACAACACTAAACATTGAAATGGAAGAGAATA